CAAGTCTTGGAAGTATTGCATTAAGTCAAGAGATCAGGGGTGAGGAGCCACAACCAACAACCATGGATATTATGGAATGAAGATTATTACATCTGAACTGATTCTAAAAGTGGTATCTGCAGATATTATATGTCTTATTAACTAGTTTTCACAGCAGAGTTGTAATAGTAGTAGCTGTAAATTTTTACCCTCCAATAAAAATGTTTGATGAAGATGTGTGCAGCGAGGTTGATTATTATAAAGTATTCATAATACAGAGTTACAATGGTACCTAAACTTAAATGGTGCATGAACAATGGTACTTAAACCCAAGAGAGAGGGATGAAGGATTGAATGGGCCTCATAGGCACAACTCCCTTTTTAAGTATCCAACACGGGGCTGGAACATAATGGACAGGATATGCTCTTATTGAAATCATTTCTTGCCTCTGCTGTGCCCATTTTCTACACAAACAACATTTTTGGTCCACAATGATTTGGCATCCCTCAGTAAAATCAGATTGTCCTGTGGGTGGAAGCAACCTGCCAAGAGTTGCTTGCAAGTTGCCACTATTGGGAGGAAAAATGCACTCGGAAAAACATCACCCTGTACTAATTTTTCTTCTTTGGTGCTTTTCACTTGAATACTTGCTGCTGCTGTTTATTTTCTTGCTGTTGCTGCTTATTTAACCCTAAGCAGGTTCTTAAAACCTATCAGTTTTACTGCTTTGAAATTGGCATGCGATTGCACAACTTTGCTGTTAGTATCAAAATATTTGCTGCTGGTGTGACTACCTTAGGTCAGGCTGCAACACAGTCATGAGTTCTGAGCCCAGCCCACCAGCTGAAGACCAGTGGTTTAGAGCGGAGGGGAGGAAACCTGTCCAGAAGTTGCTGACTTACATCTCCCGTAATCCCTGGCCACTGGCCAAGCCGAATGGGCAGATGGAGTCCCACAATATATGGAGGGCCACAGGTTCCCCACCCTTGGTCTACAGCAACCCATTTGATAGTCTCTGAAGATGTGAGGTTTGGTATTGGTCGGACATTGAGAAGCGAATAATTCCAAACCCATTGTATCATGGACTCCTGACTGACTTTTATAGAGAGAGGGTTCCTGATCTCACCTTGCTGACCAGGCCATGTAGTTTATTGAGGACATCGGAACACTTTGTATCTGGCTTTGCCATGTTTCTCACTAGTTTTATTATCTGTTGCTATTATTTTGCGCCACATTGCTTGTTGTGGTGAATCATGAGCTGCTAGTCTGTGGCTGTTTTGCTGCCTAAGAATAGTGTTAACATCATGTTGAGTGCTTCCATGCAAATTGCAGCAAGCTGCTTTGATCAGCCAGAGTATTATTAATTAAGGGCCTGGAGCACCACAGATTGATGGGATGCAGTGAGGAGACGAAGGAGGTTGCTGTCTCACTGATGCCAGTAAAAATAGGGCACCTCTTCAAATCCCCTGCTGGGTTTCCAGTGAAGTGCTTTAAAGTTGTGCTTCAACATATTTGTCTTGGTGTAAAGTAGGAAGAACGCCAGCAGATCCTCATGGAATAATACTTTTCCTCACTTTCAGACACATTCATTTATGTATTCTTTATTGCAGTTTTAACATGCCTTTTCTCCAGAGACTTACAATCCCCTCCACTTTGGCCTGATGACAGTCCTGTTTGCAGTGTGCAGGATTAGCCCAAGACAGCTTGCTGCCTGTTGTAAACATTGCGTTGTGCCTCTCACTGTCCCATTTCACATTCAGAAGCCAGCTGAGCTGGCATGGCAGTTGCATCTTACTTCAGCTCTAGTGATGAGAGGACAGCGCAGCTCTGTCCTCGCCACCACTTCCTGCTCTCCAGCTTCTGCTGCTGAGGCAGCTGCTCACTCTGTCTGATGGTAGGACTGGTCCTAGGTAACTGAAGTTAAGAGACGCTTCCTGGTCACTTTGTTTGATTTCTGCAAGGAAGCATTTGACATAAAGATCTTTATTTTATTTTTTAATGGAAGTGATCTCTCTGATACATAGTTCTGATTATAGACGTTCAGAAGCAGGTTATGGAGTGCCTTTGGAAAAGTTATGTTGACCTGCTTTGTTTGCTAGCATCAATTCACAACCATACCCTTCTTTTTAGTGACGGAGCTAAATGAAACAGCAAAAAGCAATTGCAAGGTTGTTGTTTTTTAGCTCCTAGCAGATCCACAGCATAATCCAGTCAAGGAATAGAATAGTGTGGTGAAGTGGTTAGAGTGGTGGATTGGGATCTGGGAGGTCCAGGTACAAATCCACATGCAGACATGAAGCTCACTGAGTATTCTTGGGAAGTCACTATCTCCTGGAACAGGGGCAACCTTCTGAATGTTGCTGGACTACAGCTCCCTGACCACTGGCCATGTCGACTAGGGCTGATGGGAGTTCAAGAGCATCTGGAGGCCAACACATTGGCTACACCTATCTCAGACTGACCTACTTCACAGGATTGTTGTGAAGATTAAAATAGTAGGATCTAACCTTGAATTTGTTTGTCAGCCTAAGACCTGTTGTGCAGGTAGATGAGATTAAAGTTGCTAATGACCCACTGTTGTGGTCTATATAAACACAGAGCCAAGCATGCTCCATTGTACAGTGGTACCTCGAGTTACAAACGCCTCGGGTTACAAGCGCTTCAGGTTACAAACTCCGCTAACCTGGAAGAGTTACCTCGAGTTGAGAACTTTGTCCCAGGATGAGAACCAAAATCATGTGCCGGCGGCGCAGCGACAGCAAGAGGCCCCATTGGCGAATGCACGCCTCTAGTTAAGAACCGTTTCAGGTTAAGAACGGACCTCTGGAACGAATTAAGTTTGTAACTAGAGGTACCACTGTATTGCAAAACTGTTGGGCAGGCCCCCTTTTATAGGAATGCAGAGCTTCTGCAGTGCTGCATGAACCTCCTGAGGCTGTTCTGCTCTTTGTGGTCTTTTCCTGCACCCAAGACAGAGATTATTCTTCCTCTGAGCAGCCTTATGTGGCCTAGCCGGAGCAGATCTCAGGACCTCTACTTCAGGAAGTGGAATTCCAGGGTAGGTGATCAGCTGGCTGAGAGATCTGGCCGCCACTGAGAAATCTGTGGTCGCTGTGGTTTGCATGGTTTGGGGCTGGGGCCAATAAGACAAGTGGTGTGTTTATTTGGTTTTTCTCCTCTTCTTGCTACACTTGAGTCATGAGAGGAAGAGAATCAAAAGGACTATGTTGTGCATGTCCCAACGGCTCATTGTGTGATCTGCTTTTTTCAGGTAGCAGGCTGCTTTGACCTCTGATAAAGGTTATGTGTAGTCCAGTCACTTGCATATTTACTTAGAAGTAATTAAAATTGAGTTCAGTAGGGCTATGTGAAATAGATTGCCAAAAGAGGACAAAAGTGGACACGGATTTGAATGAAATTTGCCTAGGGTAATTTATTTGTATGGATAAAAATTCAGAAATAATTACTGTACTTTAAAATATCTTGCCGTGGCGAGGAAGACTGTGACCAGGTGACCTCTGCATTTGTTCAGTCTTTGCTCTCTAGGTGCTAATTGTTGATGGATAATAGTCTTCTGCTATCACTTCTTTATCCTCCTTAAACCAGATTTGGATCTGTCTGAACTGTAGTGTCCTGTGGGTTTTCACTGTCTGAGAACATCTTGCAACAGCTATGGCTAATTCAAGGAACAACAGCTTCAGTTATCCTATTTACTGGTGCACAATACTTCAACACTCAGCAGGGCAGCTAGGACTTGCTAGGCAGGTGAGACTAAGGTTCCCACTGAACTATGGAGGGGACCACATTGAGAAAGGGAAGGGGAGTTTCTAGGACAAGCCACACTCGCTATGCAGATAGCCCTTCAAGTGTAGGATGTCTTCAAATAGAGGACTGCCCTGGGTCCTCTGTGAGGTAGGACAAATGGCCTACCTTGCAGTAGGGTTTACTCCCAAGTATGTCTTTACTTACAGCATCCAAGCGTGTCAAGAATATAATGGAAAACGAATGGAGTGTAACAGCAGGCATACTGCATACTCAGGAATCCCTTTAAGATCCAAATACTGGAGTTTTAGCTGATTTAAGCCCTGCAGATGTGGCATGGCATGCATCTCCTTTGCCATCAAGCTCTCCCCTTTCCCATTCTTCTGTCAATCTTTAACTTCTTCTCTTGCCTCCAAACATCGCTGCATTGTTCAATTACGGAAGAGGCGCTATACTTTTTGCATAGTATCAGGCTCTAAATGAGTCACATCATCGGTAGAATATGGTCTAAAGAAAATGAGGGCATTCTTGACAATATGAGGAAATTGACCAGAAGGCTTCTGGGCTTCCTTATCCTTGATAGAAAACAACTACAGTGGTACCTCGGGTTACATACACTTCAGGTTACAGACTCCGCTAACCCAGAAATAGTGCTTCAGGTTAAGAACTTTGCTTCAGGATGAGAACAGAAATCGTGTTCTGGCGGTGCGGTAGCAGCGGGAGGCCCCATTAGCAAAAGTGGTACTTCAGGTTAAGAACAGTTTCAGGTTAAGTACGGACCTCCGGAATAAATTAAGTACTTAACCTGAGGTACCACTGTATCTTATTCTGGTCTCATCACTAATCCCACAGTTGGCTTCAAGAAAGTCATGTGAATGCCCTGAAGTAAATTTCAAGGTAAACTTCAGTCAGGGCTTTTTTTCAGGCGGAACTTTCTGGAACTCAGTTCCCGCACCTCTCAGGTGGGTGCCATTGTCATTATGAGAGAACGAGGGGGCGTTCATGGTGAGTTCAGGCACCTATTTCTCTAGAAAATAGTTAATTTAGTTACTCTTGTTGAGTGCACCTCATATACTTTTCATCAGAAACTGGCAGAAGACATGTCCTCCTGAGGGGCAGATAAGCACTAAGAGACCCAGCTTCACTTGAGGACTGCCATCCTCCCAAAAGTGCATGTCAACCAAAACTCTCACTAAAGCTGATAATTGTTCATGAGAACTGGCCTGTTTACACTTCCTTTTGGTTTCTTCACTTGTAGGTGACTGGTGGCACAGCATGACTTTCTTCCTAAGCCCTGAACTGAGCACCCAATAGTCACTGGATTCAGTGGCTTCCCCCCTGCCCCCCTTACAAGAGATGTCTGGAACTAGAGGCAATGGAGAGCACTGGAAGTCCTTGGAGTCCGTGGGGATCAGCCACAAGGAGCTGGCTCTTGCGGAAGCCCTGCAGATGGAGTATGATGCATTGTCCCGCCTGAGGCAGGATAAGGAGGAGAGCCAGGCGAAGCAGAATACTGACCAACCTCTCATTTCCTGGGATGATCCAATTCTGGATTACAACAAGCCTGCTGTAAGGAATGACTGCCACAATATCAAGGTCATGAGAGGCCTCTCTGGCTCAGACTCTACCCTGAACTACAATGCCCTCTCTGGCCAGGAGGTTTCGAGAGCTTTTGGGACCAACAACTCTACCTCATCCAGTCTGCTGCCTGAGCCAGAGAGCCAGCCTTGGTTGAAGGGACCTCTCTCCAGCGACTACTTGTACATCTTTGACAGCACGGGGGGTGACTTCCTCACTGACCCCCCCAATAGTACACCCCACCAGAACAGCAGTAGCGGCAGCTCCCCTAAGAAGCTTTCTCCTCCCCCGTTGCCCCCTCGCATTGCCATCTGGAATGCCTCTGAAGTGAACCAAGCTTCCTTGAAAGGCTCCCAACCCAATGATATCAACATGTTCTCCTCAACCCACGAGAGGGCTGATGGAAAATTGCTAGGCCGTAGAATCTCGGAAGAGGACCCGTACAGCACAGTGGACTACGATGGCATCAACGACGCCATCACCCGGCTCAACCTCAAGTCCACTTACGACACCGACCTTCTGAGGGATGCCCCATGGAGCTGGAAGGAAGGCAGAAGCATTTTTGAGAAAGAAAGCAGTGGGAAGCCGGTTGCTCGCAGCAAGACTATGCCTCCTCAGGTACCTCCCAGGACCTACGTCTCCAGGTCTGGTGGACGGAAGAATTCTGGACCCAACAAGAACCGGAGGATATCAGCAGATCCGGTAAGGCCATTTTTATGTAAGTGGAATGATGTATGCCTAAGGAGCCTAAGTCCTTCTGCTGTGGTGTGGCAGAGGGATGCACAAAATGTTCACTGCCGTTGTTTTCAGATGCAGTGTATATCATTACAGGAGTCAAATTATTTGGTACCTTTCCTAGCATTCACCAAAACCAAACTCTTAGTCCTTAGTAGAAGTTTTTATTCCTCCAAAGATTATTTGTAGCTACATCTCAGAAAATGTGGCATCTCAATGGATATAACTGTTTTCTGTGCTAAGTTAAGCCATCAGAAAATGGTTAGGGAATGCCTGCCGTCAGGCTACCTACTCTGCTTTCCCCTCTCCTTTTCCCCACACATATTATGATACAATTGTTGAAGGATATTGTGGAAGCTTTTGTACGTACAACTATAGGTGCAAAGGCCACCACCCAAGGATGTATGTGTCCTTCAGTGTGGACATTTGGGTGGAGGGTCAACTCTAATGTTGTTTAAGCCCAACTAAGTACAACCAAGTGTTATAAAAGGAATCAAAAAGGGACAGAGACAAAGTTTGCATGTTTTGAGTGATGGTTTGTGAATCTATCCATGGTACAGTGAAAATCGGCTTTTGATTTCTAGGCATTTGAATTTGACAGCATTAGAAATGTATGGATCCTTATTAAAATATCACGTGCAAGGGTCTTTAATATTGCTGTGGGATGCTTAAAATGTTTCTGTCCATCAATAGTAGCTCTTTTTTGTGGGGGGCAAGGGGTTAATTCTTGCTCCGATTCTGATCGCTCCCGACTGCTTCCTTTTTTAAAAGAGCAACAACCTCAAGCGCTCCCAAACATACTGAATAGATTTAACATAGTTTGGTTGCTTAGATTTCAAGTCCCTGTGCAGCTGTATCCTGTGTGGCTCATAGGTATGCAGTTTGACAGTAATTCAGTCCCACCAGTCCTCATGCTCCTGGTTCTCTACCCTTAGTATCCTCTTAACATATGGAAACAACAGATCACTGCTCCATTTCCCCAGTTTATGAAGACAGGACCTTGGAGGACAGCTATTGTTTCATCAGTGCAGCAGCTCAGGCTGGGAGCTTACATAGGAGCTGGAGGCTCCACCCCTTCCTGGCTCTCTGCCAGGTCCCGATTCAAGCAGTTGCTTCTATATGCTTCTGAGTCTTTCTGAGTAGCTTTAAGTATAGCTAGTTGGACACTTCAGCAGCAGTTGGTACTGAAGGTCCTGCTTTTCTAAGCCATTTCTTCTGTTTATAGAAAGTAGGGGTGCTCTGGGAGACAGAAGGAAACCTAGTCAGTTTGTGAGTTTTGTTTTTTTCCCCATTTCTCATTTTTCCAATCTTAAGTTCAGTTTGCATCAGTTTGCATTTTTTAAAGTCCTCGTGAAAAAATGCTGTTGTGTTAGTAGGCTCTTGACCTGCCATGCAAACTTTTGCAAGCAATTTCCCCTAATATAATTCATTTTATACTATTTTTAGTAATATGTGTGCTTTTATGCATACACCCTCTAACATACACTGACTTTTCAGGATCCCTGGCAGCATGGAGATCTGCTCCCCTTTCTCCTCCTCTAGGAAGACCATGGGTTGCACTCATCACCCAGTCCCACAACGTTAGGTCTCTTCTCTGTGGGGGAACCACTCCCCGTTTGTCCATTTTACACGAAAATACTGAACTGAAAGGCAAAGCTCTTGTGGAAGTGCACAGAAACAGCTGCCTAGGATGCTTCTGGAATAACAGATTCTGAACTTGTTTCCTGTTCCTCATCCTGACTTAAATGTCACCATGGGAATTCATTGTCCCACTTGTATGTTGCCTCTACTGAAGCTTGCTGGCACACATCAGCTGCCTTGAAAGGGATGTCTGCATCTGTTGTGCTATTTATATGATCCACACAACAGCAGTCAAAGGGAAAGGCAGCGTCCAGTAAAAACTTTTTCCAAAAGACATGAGTCCATCCTGGCTGCTAGAACTCCTGTTTCCCAGAAGCTACAGCTTCTGAAATGTCACATGGTCCTCAGGCCAATTGTTTCCTGTTAGTAAGCAAGGATTGGATAGAGTATTTGCATCTTCACTTACCTTTCCAATCCTTTTTTTAAGGATCCTAAGAAGAATCGCATAGCAATAATTTTATAGAAGAAATCCTTTGCTGTAAAAGATTCTTGGAAACAGGGGATATCCATGGGGATATCCTTTCCTCGCTGCTTCTGGGATTGTGAATGGGTCTAAGGCGTATTTTTAGACATAGGAGTAGATGACAAATACCTCTGGCATCTGAAGGATATAAATACAAGCAAGCTCTCCACCGTCACTAAACTTCATGGGACCAACTCTCCCTGTACGCTCAGTGAAAAATGTTGTCAGAAGCTGCTGGCAGAGGTTATGTAAGTCGTTCTCTGCTTTTGCTGTGCAAGAAACTAATTATAAAGGAGCATTAAAATTGTCTTTAGTGTCTGTTGTGTTCTGTCCTTTTCTCTCTCTTTTTTCTCCCTCTCTCCCCATTCCTCTAACTATTTGGTGGGTTAATTGCTCTGACAGTGGGACCTTTGTTTGCTTTGAAGGAGTGAATTGAGGCTCCGAGACCATGCGTGCAGCCTGGCCTGGCATTCAGAGTGTTTCTGTCCTTGCTCCTTATCCTACTGTAACACTTGGGAAGGAGGCACTGGAAACAAAAAGAAATGTTTTTGAGAATTCTCCCTCTTCTAAAAATAAAAACTTAGCAACAACTATCTCGCCTGTGTGATGACAATGATGATTTTTTAAAATTTTAAATGGTATCTGCTTCTGCCATGGCTGGTGCATAATAATATCAGCACCATCCCAGCAGAGCTACAAATCTTTGAGAGAGATTGCATAAGAAATAACCCAAATGCATATGTAGGGGGTATGAATCTATGTGCATGCAGTCTTCCACTAGTTTCTTTCCAGAGCAGAAACTTTAGCAAAGTTTAGTTTGGGAGGAGGATCCTTGGTATAAAAACTGAGTCATTACAAACAACCACTGATGAATGCACTGTTCTACAAAGATTTCCTTTCTATGGGGTCATGGATTAAATTCTGGCCAGTTTTCTTTTAGGCTGTGGAATGCTATTTAGTTCCTTATTGCCATATGATAACTGTTTAACGTTTACGTTATGTTTGTACATCTCTTTGGAAATGTTTTTAGAAAAGTGATTTAGAAATATTTGAAATAAATCATATACCGTATTTTTTGCTCTATAAGACTCACTTTTTCCCTCCTAAAAAGTAAGGGGAAATGTGTGTGTGTCTTATGGAGCGAATGCAGGCTGCACAGCTATCCCAGAAGCCAGAACAGGAAGAGGGATTGCTGCTTTCACTGCACAGCGATCGCTCTTGCTGTTCTGGCTTCTGAGATTCAGAATATTTTTTTTCTTGTTTTCCTCCTCCAAAAACTAGGTGCGCCTTGTGGTCTGGTGCGTCTTATAGAGCGAAAAATACGGTAAATATAAATATGGTGCAGATCAGGCTGTGGACCAGTGTAGGCTGCTGGATTTGCACCCACAGCTATCCTCAGAACTGCTAGGTTACAAATCTGCTTTATGGTATGTTTAAGCACTGAACTTAGATCATATCAGTTCATCCAGCATTCAAGATGTGTTCTGCTTTCTTTTTCTTCATTTCTTTTTTTTTAAGGCAGGCAATAAATCCAAAGCTATTTGCAGCAGTTCTGAGTTTTGCATTGGCTCAAAGGAGTGCAGCTGTTGTCCTCATATCAATAACTGATATTAATCGTTGAATTAATAGCTGTAAGCCAAAGCAAGAACCTCCTCAATACAGTGAGCTGGATAGATCTGCAGCATAAGCTCAATGCACAACTTAACCCACATTTATCAGAGCACTACAAAGCTGCCAAGGCTGTTAGGGTTAAGGTGGGTTGAATTGAAAGGAAGTCATGTGGAGAAGAAACTCTCTCTCACGCTTCTTCATCATGTGCAGACATCTGTCTTTTCTACTCAACCATTTTTTTGGTATTCTAATTTTGTGGGTAGAGAAGATGAGAAAGAAATTTGATTCAGTTCACATTTAAAGGCAGACTTAGAAAATTCACACTTTTCAAAACAATATGCAAACTGAAACTCAGCCATCCTTCAAAACCCAGTTTTCAGAATTTTGCAGTGCTGCTCTATGGCCAAGCAATGCATACAAAAATACATAATATTAGGCCAAAATATGCATATAAATGCATATATTCATGAAAGTTACATGTGTGTTGGGGAAAATTGTTTACAAAAAATGTATTTGTCAGAATAGTTACAAAAATGTGTTGGTTGGGAGAAATTCGTATTAAAATGCTGATGAATTTTCAGGTTTGGTTTTGTTTTTGCAAAAAATTGCAAAGTGCTGCATAAATGTGGAGAACTGAATTTAAGATTGGAAAAAATGAGAAACAGAGAATCAAAAACTGTCAGATTTGCCCAGTTGACAGTGTAGATTGGTGCAACTTCTCCATGAATTGATCCTAAACACAGATTATATGAACCAATAGCACTTCCTCTTGCACAAGAGGAGCAGAGACTGTTCTCCAGCTGTAACCCACCCCCACCCCCAGGCTACATCCCTCATTATTCCTGAGGGTCGCTGACCATCAGTCAGGAGTGGCTTGGGTGAGATGAGGAATAAAGTCCGCAGCATGGAGGAAGAATGAAGACCCTGTTCCAAGAGGAAACTTCACTTGTGCTGATTAGGATATAATCCTGTATACTGAGTTATGGAAATAAAAGAAATCTGAGATTGGCCAGTGTACAAGTTGGGGGGGTGGATAGTAGAAACTATATTTCACTGAGTATTGTTTCTATTTCCATTTCTTGTTTGGTATCAGACCACTTCTCAACATTATCCTGTGGCCAATGGCTATGAGCTGTTTGAGGTTTCTGAGGAGAAGGATGAAGAGGTTGCTGCTTTCTGCCATATGCTGGATGTGTAAGTACAGCCAACTCCCCCTTTGTGTGGGGGTTGCTTTGTGGGTTTTCGTGTGCGTTGGCATAAGCCCACCCCGCTCCATTCTGCCCCCTTCCATGGTGCATGTGTATTGAATGGGCACAAAATGGTCACCACCAGTACCAGTCTAGGACTCATCAAAGCACCCTACTAAGGGGATCCTTTGGCTGCAGTCCTCCTTGGAACCTAAGTATCTACAAGGGAGCCCTGCATCAAAATAGCAGAGTGCTGCTATTCAGAATTCCACCCGGTCCATTCCAGCACTGCCCCACAGTTGGTCAATGTTCTGTGCCCATTCAACATGCTCAGTCTTCATTGGGTTGCCTTTGCTTCCCATCCACTCCAAGGGAGCTCCATAAGGACCAGAGCTTACAGAACTGTGGTTGTGGTCAGTATCTGTAAGTGGGACCTATGATAAAATGTTCCGTTGTCGAGTGCTCCTGTTACAGCCGGCCAGCCATACTCTACTGCATTCCATTCCCTCTTCCACTTAGTTTTCCATTATCCCCACCAAACAGTCAGCATTCCTTGGCCACTGAAAATACTCTGAACTCATTGGGTTGTTTTTTGAGGATCTTCCCCTGTGGGGCTCCCCTACCCCCCAGTTTTCCAAACGTTGACATTTCTCTTGGAGCCTGCCAGTTCCTCCCTCTTTTGCATGGATAGCATCTCCTTGGCTACCTCACCTCTGAACATCGGAAATAGAAGGAATTAAGATAAGCAATGGCCTAACAGCCTCAAGCAATTAATTACTGCTGTTGATTAATCCTCAGCGACTGGGGGAAAAATCCTCTTTGTCCCTAGAGTTTTTGTTGCACTTTGTTTAAGCATGGCTCCAGTGGAAAGAGTCTAAGCCTGTAGTGGATTGGATGAGGATGAACCTATTTGGGATTATAATTCCTGGCATGGCTTGCGATAATGCAGCAGCAACAGAAGGCAGAGGAGGCATTCCTCCCATGCTTTGGAAGTAAAGGTAGCGGGGAATGTCACAAGGCCAACGACATGGATTGCACACATAGCTCAAACCAGCACAGAGTTTCAGTCTGTTGGTCTGGCTAAGAGTTAGCCTGTTATTAGAGAAAACAGAAGTCATTTTTTCTGACATTTGGCCAGTGTGATCCTTTCTCTCTCTCCATTTTCTTTCTCCAAGTAGCACATCTCAAAAAGATTCAGTGTTCTTCAGATGTACATACATGATATTTTCCTTTCCCATTCATCCTTTTGTAGTCTACTTCAGCATGTCTAGAGTTAGCGACAATCAACGCATCAACTATCTGGGCCTCTGCACTACTTGAGATCATTAGCGGTCAGTGTGGTGGGGCAGCACTGGGAAGCTGCCCTTCCAACATGGGCATTGCAACAACTTACCTGGATGAGGCAGGGTGGCAGATAGGTAAGGGCTGTGTGGGTGCCCCTGCCAGTACATCTGTGCAGCACCAACCTCACTACCACCCTGCCCATCCAGGGCACAGGTGTAGCAATGCCAGTGTCAGGGAGGCAGCTTCCTAGTTAAGCCCTATACAGCTACTGCTTGGGATATGTTATCATGCTGGAGGGCAAACAAACCTGAGTTTCATTCATTGTTGAAGCACAAATTAATCTCTAGGCCGTATGCTCTTTCATACTCACTCCATTTGATTGACCCCACAAGGTTGTTATGAAATTCAAGATCCTTTAAGGCAGGAATCTTAGATTTGGTGTTAGCTTAGCCAAATATTTTAGAAGATCAAATCAGTTATTTGAGTAAATGGGAAATTGAGAATCTCAGTAGCATAATACATTGGTATAAATTTTAACAGGGTTCAAAGATGAGGAGATCAAGTGCAAAGACCTTTGACAGCATCCCCTTATTTAAAAAAGAATAAGGGAAAAGAGGAGATCCTATCAGATGCCACAAGGAATGGGCATTCGGTGGTAATGGAAACTAATTGTACCCATCTCATTTTGCCCACAGACTTAGATCTGGCTACAGTACCAAGGACTATTCCCTTACTGGTTTTGTCTGGAGTGCTGTCAACCTCAGTCGTGAACACCTTGGCCATGGAGTCAGCTTGAAAGTGACTGTGGTTTATGACAGCCTGCAGGAGCCTCTCACTTTTACTTGTGACTGTAAGTTTTGCTGGTTTGAACTGGGGTGCACTTTCCACTCATATCAACAGAGCAAATGTTCCCAAACTGTGGTCTGTGGATCACTGGTGGCCCATAAGCTCCATTCATATAGTCCACAGAAAGATGCTGGACAGGCCAGAATATATGTATTTGGTCTTACTCTTGATTGATTTATTTTTGGATGACAGAGACGAGGGTCAAATAGATCAGGCATATATTATCAAAGAGGCTAACAAGGTCTTGTCATCTTTTATTTTTAAGTAATCCAAGGAGAACTCCAGCAATTTTCAAGTGGTTCCTGGGGGCAGGAATTTTTGAGAACTGTTTCAGTATTAGGTATATTATATGCTTCTTTTCGCGGCAATGAAATGAGCTGCGCTAGAAGTTAATACCACAGAAGTCTCTTCTAGACCTAGGTTGGGAGGGTCTGCATGGTTTTCTGGTGACATTTTGTATTGCTGTGAAGGGAACAGAAATATAATCAAATTCTGGGAGAATTGTGGAATCTGTGATGCCAGAGGGAGTCTACTGGACTTAGGAAGGAACGGCCCAGGATGGCAAATTCCAGGGAATGTTGTCTTGAGACTCATCATGCTGTGATTGTTCTCTCCCGCCCCCCTCCTGGCAGGCTCCTCCACCGTGGACTTGCTCATCTATCAGACTTTGTGCTACACTCATGATGACTTGTGTGATATCGATGTGGATGACTTCGTTCTCAAACTGTGTGGCCTTGAGGAATTCCTGCAAAAGTGAGTCAATGGGCAATGCTTGTCCAAAAAACTTTAGGCTGACATCCTATACTCACTTACTTTGTAGTAAGCCCCATTAAACTCAATTAACATCCGAGTAGACACATAGAGGCTTGTGCTGTTAAAGACTTCCTGCCTGGTTTTTCCTTTTTCTTTGCCTCCATTGATGCATTCTAAATCTTGTGCTCTCATGGTGTGCTGCAGAAATAGTTTAGAGACCCTGATGTTTTGTGGGGTGTGGGATGCTACCTATGGAGTGCTGCCCTAACAATCACAATTCTTTACCTTTTGGGACCACACCGGTTTGCAAGCTTTGCACATATCTTGAATGGTAGTGGTCACTAGTGCTGTGTGGCAGTGCTTACCTGACTCCATCACTGGTGTCACTGCCAGATACCAGGTGGAGGAGGGATGAGGTGGCAGTGAGGTCAGCCTGGTGCAAATGTACTGGCTGAGCCAATCCAGTGCACTGCTGCTGCATTTGCACCTCACAAACCTCATCCCTCTTCCTTCTGGTAAGCTGCAACAATGCTAGTGATGGGAGATCAGGTAAGTGCTGTTGCCCCATTGACCACTATTGTTCTTTAACCCTCTTACAAAGTGTGTTTTATAGATCCTCCCTCTGATCGTCAAAGATTCCCCCACCCCATCTCACAGAATGTTGTGTTAGGCCGTTCCATAGACTTTTTCACCACTGAAGACTGAAGGACCACTTTAGGATAGAAATCTCTTTCAAGTAAATAAGCAGAGAAATAGAAATCTGGGTTAGTCACTGCCATGTTTGCCAGGATGGCATCAGTCACAATTTCACAGCCTCCATTTGGGATACTTCTGTGACTTCACCCATTTGCTGCATACACAGTTTCCACTAGTTTAATCATCGCTTGGCATATAACATCCGCTTCTCCCCAAAGCAGGGTGATGTGAAGCCTGGATTATTTTAGCACCTGTTAGGAACATAGTTAGGGCTATGTGATGTATTTTACTTCCTTATTTTTTAAATCATTGAGCGATTTCTGCCAAGACACCCCAGCAGAAGCCTTGGGCTGTGGAAAGATATTGCTAAACCTCATTGACTGTGTTGAAATTCATGTTCCATGGAAGAGTCACTTCATGAATTAGGAAGGTGCCAAGTATCCCTCTTTAGATGACTGTCATGCTTAGTAAGTTGATAGATGAGTCAAAGAAGTTGCATTTCTTTAAGGTATTTGTCTTTAGCTTGTGCTATGGTGATGGACTGACTTAGTACTTTTTAGATTGATGGAATGGAGGAATGCCAAATGAAGGATGTGCATTGCTTTCTCCCTGAACCCCGACACAACAGAAATCTTATGGAATGGTCATAAATGAAGCAGACTCACAGATAGAATGTGCTGGAGACTGATGCATTCCTTGATGTCATCATCAAGCAGACATAGCTGGAAACTGGGCATTCAAAAGGCAAAGATGGTTTACTGCTATATTTCTCTCTCCAACTGCTTCCGCAAGACGGTGGACAATTGGTGCACTTTGTGATGCGGAACTGTAGACCGAGAGCTGCTGTATCCCTTCCATACGTGGTTCTGCTTTGAGCAAGCTGGGCAGTGGGGCACATATCTCCTTCCCACATTTGCTGCCTTTGAGAAGCAGTCCCATCTTTGGGGCTCTTTTTTGCTTCTCTTTGGTACTGAGCGTTGTGGTTAGATGAAATCTCCTCTGGGGGAGTAATGAAGATACCATCTGCTTTCAGCAGAAAAATCAATAAACTTTGCCTATGGGTTAGCTGTCCTCCACCCGGGAGCTAGCACTCCAAGCTCTGGGCAGACAGTTTAGACCACCCGACCTGCCCTCCTTGACCATGGTGTGCTGCACTTCCACCAAACAAATTACTCATTTATGTACGGAGGCATTGAGAGTGGCTTTGTCGTTTGATCTTAAGAGCTTGTGGTCCAGTTACAGCGACTGGGAATGCAAGTTGGCAAGTGCAAACTGATTATTACTGGGACTAGCTCGTTAGTGAACAGACTTAAAAACCACAGAGCCCTCTGCGGACAACCATTCTCTCTCTCTCTCTCTCTCTCTCTCTCTCTCTCTCTGTGTGTGTGTGTGTGTGTGTGTGAGAGAGAGAGAGAGAGAGAGAGAGAGAGAAGGGGGGGGTGCAAGGGAGAGCTCAAGCACTGAAAGTCAGATCAAGGGAACAAATATCCCAGATCTCATTATTTATGTATGGAACACTATGAAAGTTTTTGTAAGTCTTGAGGCTATTTCGTGCTCTTGTGGAACCCTGGCAGTGAGCAAAGTGACCTAATCCATGGTTTAACTTTCTCTGCATTGATGAATGACAGTGAGAGAGAGAGTGTGTGTGTGTATCTAAACGGCTCAGAGATCTAACTATATCACTTTTGGCACCACAAGATCTCTTAGCACTTTCGAGCATGCACTGCCTGCGTAGCAAATCTCTTGTGACTGCAGTGGAGTCCAGGGAATGGCTGCCTGTCGGAAGAACTCAGCCAACCACTGCAGGGGGGAGTTGGGAAACAATGTCCCAGGCTGAAGCCCATAGAACCAGTAGGAGCTATTGAAACATTTCTTATTAGTCCTTGCAGTGCTTTCTTATTTTTAAACGGCCACGTTGCCACCAGCAGAGAAATCTCTTTTTCTTTTTATGTAACACGCCTTAACTAAAAGCAGAAACAAGAAATTTGTATCAGATGAGTAGAAACTACACTGCCAACCTAGAACCCACAGGCGCCGTGAGTTTTCCCCCCTTTTAAGTTGCTTTTTTTCCTTGCAGAGGCATCTGGCACCGTATTTATGGAAAGCAAAAGGCCTGTTCATGAATTACAGTCTATATCATAAGTGCAAGCTAGCAAGGCATCTGGTGGCTGCACAGGCTGCAGAGGGGTGGCCATCTCCTTGCTGTTCAAATAATGGTTTGGTGATTAATGAGCTGGACTGGGATTGGAGACAACTCTGTTTGAATCCAGCCACTAATTAAAATGGCTATTGGGTCCTGCACATAACGCTTCCTGGCCACCCCTCCCTCCCATAGTGACCTTACTCATATTTGTGTACTCTCCTGCACATCTGGGTCCCTGATTTGTTCTCATGGGTTGCACCCTGCCTGGAGGCTGTTTTCGTAGTCCCAGGTGGCTGTAGCTTCCCAGCTTGTAAACAAGTAATAGTGAGACGTAGCCACGGCAGTAGAAGCAACAAATTCTGGCTCCCGATCCCTGTGGAAAAGACTCCTGTTAGGGCTCAAAGACCATGTGCAGAAGGCAAACAAACTCTCTTAAGGTCCTTAAGACAGCTTTCTTCAACATGTGGGAGTTCAGGCTGCTTTTAAGACCTGGAGGGCTGAAATTCCCCTCAGGGCCGTGGTGCAAGGGCCATGCTGCCTGTAGCGCTTGAGAACAGGGCGAGTTTTGTTGGTGTGTAGCAGGCCCTGTTCAGTCCCCTTGCTCTCCTAGAAAGACAGCCTTGTAGAACTATACAGTGGTACCTCAGGTTAAGTACTTAATTCGTTCCGGAGGTCCGTTCTTAACCTGAAACTGTTCTTAACCTGAAGCACCACTTTAGCTAATGGGGCCTCCCTCTGCCGCCGGAGCATGATTTCTGTTCTCATCCTGAAGCAAAGTTCTTAACCTGAGGTACTGTTTCTGGGTTAGCGGAGTCTATAACCTGAAGCATATGTAACCTGAAGCGTATGTAACCCGAGGTACCACTGTATTCCATGTGCGCTGCCTCATGGCTTCTGTCAACAAAGAAGAAATGCCGTGCCCTCTGGCTTTTAAAACTTACGCTTCGCAACATAGGGGCACATTTTTATTGTATCCGTTTGGGAAGCTTAGCACAATAATCTTGACATGAATAAAATTGGTGGTTTTTACGGGCCTGCAAAATCTCTGCCCGAGCAAATTGGCACGCAGGCTGCGCCCCCCCCCCCTTTTCCGCACGTAGATTGAAATGAAATGAGCTGACCCTTCTGTCCGCCTGTGTTGTATGCCTGCCTTCTTGGCAGGACACAAAGTGCCGGATGCAGACAGCAGAAATGCTCCTTGCTTGACCTTCCATCCGGATGGAAATCTCTCTAATGAGCTAGTGTGCAAATGCCCTGCTCTGTTGCAGCAGCGCCTTCAAAAGATCTTTGGAAACCTCCTCTTTTTTGCAATCAAGCTTCCCGTCTTCCCCAAACAAGCCTCCCCAAACCCCTTCATTGTTTGGGCAGCAGGAATCTTCGCTTCTTGAAGACAGAGAGGGGTTGTTGTGTTTTTTTGGACAGGCCTACCTTCCGTTCTTTTCATGCCACCAGATAGAAACTGGAGGAGGATGAAGTAAGGCTGTCATCTTTGGACAGCTGCCCTGCACCCCCTTTCCCAGCCCTCCTCTAGTGAGGGACGCTGGTTGGCCACCAGTAAAATTGTCCAGAAAAGCCCTGCAGCGACACTACCTCACAACAGTGCTATTTGAGCAATTAAAAATGGTAGCCATTTGGCGCTTTCTGGAAGAGTGCAGCTACCGTCCTCCTCTAGCAATGGTGAGCCTGGCTTTCTTCCACTGTGTTGGAGCCAAAATAAATAGCAAGGGAAGGAAAAGCTCCTGCTATGTGGTGGTTGGGGACTCACGCCAGCATGGAGGGACACCAGGGGGTCACAGGCAAAGTTCCTTCACACCTGGAGTTCATTTATTTAATTTATTTCATCAAATTTACCGTATGTACTGCTTGATTTTAAAACAAAAATCTCAACAACATTCCTCTTCAACCAGGCCTTTGGCTGATTAATATTCTACAGCCTTTTAAATGTGTTTGGGAGGAGGGTATTTTTTGGGGTTTTAACTGTTTTGTGCTTCTATCCTGCATTTTTATCTTGCAAGCCGCCTGGAGATCTTCAGATGAAGGGTGGTATAGACAAAACACAATTAAAAATATATAAAGCAATGAAATCAAGAACAATTGATAACTGTACTTTGAAACATGCAAAAGCTGGCCGTGAGATCCTGTTTGCTAGGCAAGCTGTTAGCAACTAAAAGGCAAGCTATAAAGCAGAAAGGGACATAGCACAGGCTTTCCACATTCTGTCCATGTTGGTGCAAATGGCCAAATTATTTTATTCTTGCGTGTGACAGTCTCTGAAATAGACGAAGTGCTGTTACCAGTGTACAGTTGAAATGGTTTTAGTAACCAGTGTTACATTGGGAATATATGGCAAAAAGAGCAAGGCTTTGTTTCCTGCAGTAATGTTGTAAACTGGCGGCCCCTCCTTCCAGGCAGCTTCCCCCTAGGACAACTTTGCTGCAGTTTCAGCTTGATGCACTGCAACAATTTTGTAGCTTCTTTTGCTGACTTGGCAGTTAGCTAGCAAATTGCTTTTATTCTCAAACCACATGTGCTTGGGGCATGTACCATTTTTTTGGATTTGCTGAAAGCAGTCTAAGAAATAAAAGCGAAAGAGCTCTGGTTATCTTTTGTATTTTTAAATGTGCTTATTTGGAATTCCATAATGATTTTATGAAGTTCAGAAAAATAGTACAGCACTAGAATGGGGGGAATTTGTTAGGTTTTCGTCCAGGCCATATCACATGAACAAATCCCAGTCTCTGTAATAATAATTTTCCCGTGAACGTTTTAATTTGTTTGAGCGATAAAACCTTTTGAGCACTGCATTTCAATTCCAGTTCTAAAGGAGAGATTTTGAAGCATTGGATAGCATGTTAGAAAACTAGTGACAGCTTTTATTTAAACATTTTGTACATGTCAGCTAAAAGGCAGGACAGATGTGGAAATGGAGGACGTGTCTGCTCACACAAATTGATTTAACGGTCATTTAAATCCTAGAATGCTGTCCAAATCCTATAGACTTCAATGGGATTTGGGGTTGAGATACACGTGTCTCCTTCAAGAAGAGACTGTTGATTTCTCTTTGTTGTGAGGATGAGCTCTTAGGCTGTGTGTTGAGTTTGTTTGTTTACCCCTTTTTCTAAAAAAATCCTGGTATGTTTATCCGTTTAAATATATATTAATCCCCTCCCTGTCTCCGCATAGAAGGCAATATTAAAAATAAAGGAACTCAAAGCATGGATCAGGGTGAGTGGGAAGAGTAGCTGTGGCTTGTGAATCAGCACTCAGCACAGTCTGGCAAGGAGGCAGGAAGGTGCCTAAATCTCACATAGACTAGCAGGCAGCATTCTGCATAGCTGACGTCTCCTGGAAACAAACAAACAAACAAACAAACAAAAAGTTGCTTCTGTTCAAGATTCTGTGCAGTAGTTTGTACATCTATCTCAGAATGTCTGTATGCGCCTCTGCCTTTAACTAAGCTCTGATCTGCAGGATTGAAGGTGAGGGGTTTTCGCAAACTCCAGTCTCCTGCGCCGTTGGTTTCCCTCAGCTTTTGACACAAGTGCCCTTCTGTAGACAAAAGCTAACATTTTATTTTTTTTACATCTCACTGTATGCATTTGATACTGGCTCTCAGATATATAAAACAACCATTCCTGGTGCATGCCAAATACTTAAAGAAGTTCTGGAACTTCATGTAGCTCAGACTCGAGAGGTCAGGCAAACTTACCTGTGGTTACTCCTTGCCCGACATGCCCAGACTTGAGCCCAGATACCAGGCAGGGACGTTGAATGGGGTGGGTGGGGGGAGTCCACCTACAGGAGGCACACGGAAATAAATCTTCATAAAATATACAGATCCTTCTTTTCATAGGTTTCAAAGTGCCCACACCCATTCAGGTTGCAGCCTTGAGAATAGAAACAGTGGGAATTTTATCTGCCAGCCAGGCAGGGAGGCTTCTTCTGTGGGACAAACACTTTAAATTGCACAAGCACCAACAGTGATAGATGCTCCTTTTCATTGAACACATATACATATTTGCAAGCGCGTAGGAACATAGGCAGACCATTGGTCCACCTAGCTCTAGATCTTTTACACTGACCACCAGCAGCTCTCCAGCATTTCGGACAAGGACCATTCCCAGCCCTACCTGGAATTGAACATGGGAGCTTCTGCACGCAAGGCAGATGCTCTACCACTGAGCTGTGGCCAGGCAGTCCATCTAGCCCAGTATTGTTTATTCTGACTGGCAGCAGCTCTTCAGGGGTCTTGCCCCATCACCTGCTACCTGATTCTTTTCTAACTGCAGATGCCAGGGACTGGACTTGGGACCATCTGCAGGCAAATCCTGTGATGTAACACCAAGTTGTGGTCCCTCCCAAGGCCCCTTGCCCTTGTCACTTCCTTCTCACTCCCTGAGTTGATCAGGGAATATATGAGAAGCACACCCCGCATTTGCCCACAAACTGCAATTACACTTTCTTTCCCCTTTTGCTAAAATGACAGAATAGCTGGGGGTGGGGATGTGTGGCAGGACAGGAGGGGCAGCAGAGCAAGCCACTGAGAGCAGCAGCAGCAGCAGGAGGCCCTCCAGGCCCGGTCCAAATTAAATGTTTTCAGGAATTCCCTATCTGCTTAGGGGCAGGTGTTACAAGCCAACCTGAATAAGAATGCCTTGCGGCACTTCCTGAAAATGAATGCAAAATCTTCCTTTTGTGACTGTACTGTGGGCACTCCTGACTCTTTTTTTGGCTATCTCCTTTTTCCAGCTGTTGAAGTTTGAGCTGCTTCATTATTATTACTCTACTTTTCTTTCTTCCCTTTAAAAACACAACACTCCCCCCCCCTTCCCTCTCTCCTGTCTCTGCAAACTGGCTTTCTTGTGTGATGGCAGCTGTGCCTAGCTGTGCCAGGATGCAGGCTTGACATAGATAAGAATTGACCCTTTCCTTTGGCAGGTGAAAGGACCAGACTTCCTTTTTGTCACTGCCCTTCCAGCATAGCTTTGCTTCTTCTGTGGGCTTGTTTCATTAGAATCGCAGGCAATGGCTCAGAGGTTGGCTCCAGGGCTTTATGTTATAGATTTGGGTTTGCAAAGATGCATGTGGGTCTTAAGTAGACCATACTGTGAGGTCATGAGTTACAAGGAGGTTGCAGGACAGTTAGAAATAGCCAGATCTTCAAGTTGTGATTTGGCTAATCTGCCTCCCGAAGATTCTCCGCTTCAATACATTTTTTATCATTGTTGCAGTTCAGGCTTAAACCTTTTTTAGAATTCACCTGATGTACATATTATATTTAATCTTTCATTCTTTGTCATTCCTGAAGCTTTCGAGTTTTCTTTTGGACATTCTTGAGTGTTGCAATTTTTTACACTGGGTGGGGGAAAGTATATACATTTAATTGAAGCCTAGCTATGGAATTTGTAGACCTCTGATTCTCAGAGAGCAAAACTGAAGTATATAAAGATTACTTGACACACCCAGTGTCTTCAAGCCAAAGCAGTTGCAGAGCTAGGATATATTAGGTGCTGGAGGCTCCAAGTAATCTGCTCTTTCCTGCCTGGTTTATCCTCCATACAGCACAGGGGGGAAAGCCATTTAGTTACAATTTATTGATGTGTTTGCATCCTTTCAGCAAACATCCACTGGGAAGTCATGAATACATCCAGCACTGCAGGAAGTTTGACATTGATATCCGGCTGCAGCTGATGAAGAGGAAGGCTGTGCGCACTGACTTGGCTAGGACGGTAAGTATTTGCTTGCCAGTGAGCAACAGAACTGTGTGATGTCTCTGCCATTACTAGTACAGATGGCATATGTGTTCCATCTTGCCTAAGGTTGCAGGTCCAATGGTGGCATCTAGAACACTGTCTGTTCCATCCATACTGGATCTGTTTGGATTATTTCAGCTTAAGGATGTGGACAGCCAACCACCTGCCTCCTTGACCCTTGCCCATCTTGGATTCTTGGAGCCAGCAGTAGGGGGTTGAGTGGGTGGGTCCCAGGAATGATTGATGCCTCACTGGAGAAGGGGGAAGTACCATCTGCCTTGAAGGAGGCAGTGTTGCTCCTCCTCCTTAAAAGGACCTCCCTGTACCCAGAAGTGTTAAACCTCTGAAAGGCCCTCTCCTTCCATGTAACTCTCGGGTTTTAAAAGTGGGTGGAGCCGGAAGGGGGTTGGTTTGGGAGAGGGGATTCTCTTTGGCAGCCCCTACGTTGCAAAACCCCCTCCCCGCAGAGGTGCGTCTTCATTGTTCAGTTTTCAGCAAATACTGAAGAGGTACCTATTAACTCTGGTTTTTGACACCTGAATTGTATATTTTTATGACCTGCACTATTTTTGTGATTGTAAGTTGTTTTGAACTGTTTCCACCCTGAGATCCTAGGGTGGATGATGGGTAATAAATAAAAAATAATAGTAATGCTAAGCCAGCCCATGGCTTAGCTGCAGCAGAACCAGGGGAGGAGCGCAGTAACCATGATTTTGCTCCAGGAACCTGCACGTTTCCTCATTCACACTAAGCCATGGTTTTCCTTACGTGCAAACGGAGTCAAGATGCATGTGAGTAATTAACCTTCACTTATGCAGGTGAACGATGACCAGAGTCCTTCCACGCTCAACCACTACGTTCACCTCCAGGAAAGGCCAATCAAGCAGACCATCACCAGGTAAAGATGAACAGAGAATCTCAGGGTCACGGGTTCAAGCCCCACGTTGGGCAAAAGATTCCTGCATTGCAGGTGGTTGGACTAGATGACCCTCATGGTCCCTTCCAACTCTGCAATTCTATGATTTTATGGAGTGGCAGCAGCAGCAGCATACTTCAGGTGGCCTATGTAAAGCCAGTGCTTTTTTAAAGGGGGTACTCAAGGGTACACAGTACTGACACCTCTTTTTGTTGTTGTTAAAAAGTGTGGCACTTACTGTAACAACTTCATGGTGAGTGCTGGCACCTATTTTTCTAGGAAAAAAGCACTGTGCCGCCCAAAAAACCCCCAAAGTGAAACAAAAATAGACCCAGTGCTGGAGTTCTTAATTTAGGCCTTCCATATTGAAATTCCTCCATCCTCTTGGGAGAGAGGGCCCTGGCTTAGTAGTAGAGCATGGCTTACATTCAGAAGGTCCCAAATTGAAGTCAAGCATCTTCAGGTAGGGATTGGGAAAGTCTTCCATCTGAGAATCTCGGGAGGCACTGCCAATTCTGAACTAGATGGACCAATGACTTTGGGCTGTTGCTTAAGAACTCACCTTGACAGAGATCCGTTTCCTCCATATGTACAAGCCATGACTTGCTTCCTTTTTCTGTGCCAAGCTGTCTCTTGTTGTTTCTTCCAATAGGCAGGCCTTGAGTCTCCTCTTCGATACCTTCCACAACGAGGTTGATGCATTCCTAGCCGTGGAGGTGAGAGGATAGCATTGGGGTTAATGTTGTGGTTAAACATACGTTGAACTATGCATATGGCTTTGGTGTGCTGCAAATGCCTCTGCATTGGTGAATATTATTAGATGTAACCATTTCACCTTTGGCATCTTCAAGCTATGAAATCCATCCATAAGGAAGCTTGTGATGGGGAACCCAGTAACCCTCAACCACTTTCCCTGAGACACCCTGATCGCCAGTCTTCCCATCACTTTCCTCCTAGCTCGAACAATTGTCCCATGTTCTTTGAGCTACATCTTCAGTTCCTGGTGGTCTTTGGCAGCAGCAAGATAAGAAGCATGTAGTTTTGCACTTCCTTTGTCAGCACCCACTTTGGTATAAAACCCACCATATTGTTTGGCAGTGAACAGTAGTGGCTGGTGGGGCAGCATAGACCCAGCTGTGTTGCGGAGCTGGCTTTCCAAAGGTTCCTGCCACTGTCGGTTAACAAGAGGGAGGCTTGGGATGGTGTGGATACAGCAGTGGAGCCAATCCGATGTTTCTGGCACTGTGCCCACACTTTGCCAAGCTCCCTGCCACCATACCGCTCTCCCTCTTGGTAAGTGGCAGGGGCATATGGCATAGGGAAGCCAGATCAGCATTGCTGCCCTGCTGGTCACTACTGCAATATAGCACCTGGTATGGGCATCACAGGTACGTTTGAAGATGCCAAATATAACAGACCATTGTATATGATAGAAAGTATTTGTGAAAACATAGGCTAGGGTTAAATGACAATGCAAGTATTTTTCGACGCTACAGTTTCCTCCAGGCCCTTCCCATTTCACTATGTTGCTCACATTGTTTCATTTCCTGCTTCAAGCTGATAAGGTGCTAGCTTGTTTTTTTTACTGTTTTCGCTAGAGTGACGTTTGCTTTATAAAATAAATGCCCTGAACCTTGCTTCTCCCATCTCGTCTGACAGTCCACTGCTTGCTTGCTTGCTTGCTTGCTTCTCCTCTTCCTCATTCCAGTCTTGAATCCTTCATGAGAGTCAAATTTCCCAGCATAAGGTGCGGGCTGCCAGCCACAAGTGTGCTTGGGACTACAGCCAAGAGGCGGATCTGCATAGCAGCCTTTGCTATCAGAGCAGAAAACAAACTGGGTGTAGTGAAGTGTTCCCCAGGTTCTAATCTTGAAATTGTCAGCAGCTTTTAACAGCAAGTTCCTATCTACTGTTTGTTTCAGTTTCCCTTTCCTTGCAATAAATACAGTCAAAAACATACTTGTGAAGGTAGGCAAAAAAGAAACCCAAGACGTTGTGAAGGTTAAATTTCTCATGACGGTAAAGGGATTTATATAGGGGTTTTTCCCCCCATTTTGAAACCTCTATGTTATCGAGCACTTAATGTAGAGATTAGAATGTGTGTTTTAGATCTTGGGAGTAGTGAATTTAGTGAAAGGGGTAAGCAGGAGACTTTGACAACCTTCTAAATTGCCAACACTGAGGTTGCCAGCACTTTATAATTCCAAAAAATGATCAGGGATAGTGGATTCAAGTCCTAGCTTAGCTTTGTGAACTCTAGCTTAGAGTGCAGGAACGATAATATATTCAACTGAGCAGCTAGAATTGCCTTTAGACATCTCTTTTGTGTGACTGTCTGGTCCTTGCTAGTGATGAAGGCGAAGGGCTTTTTAGCAAACTGATTGGAACAAGAACTAGTTTGGTCCCTATCTGTGAAAGCACCCTCTTGTAGTCAGAGCGCCATGACTGGGGGCAGAAAGTATGTGTGAGGGAGAGTGAGTGTGAGAAAGAAACCATTCTCCTCCTTTCAAGAGGTGAGTCATAACAAAGCTATCTAGGAAATCTCAGCTGAATGGAATGTAGTTCACTAGTATGTAATCTTGAGGTGTGTGATGGATCCTGAAAATAACACATTTGAGAAATGAACAAGTTACTTGATCCTGTGGTTTTTGAGCAGGGAAAAGGAAAAGCTTTCTAGGTTTCAGTAGCTAAATTACTACGCTCTGAAGATTTTGCTCCCCCTGCATGGTCCTACATTATTTCTCCCTTCCTGCACATTTGTATGGAAATGTATGACTGTGTATGTACTTCCTACAGCAGGGGTCAGCAAGCTTTATCTTGCCTGGTCTGGATCAGTCCTCTGGAGATCCCTTTGTGGGCCGGATTGTGCACCCGCCCATGATTTCTGGCGCAGACGCGATTTCTGGTGCCACGGAAGCGAGTCCTCGCGCTGCGCTGTGCTGGTTTAGTGCAGTGCGCAAGCGGGCAGCACAATTCGGGGGCAGCTCGTGGGCCGGTCAAATGACCTCCGTGGGCTGCTTCCAGCCCATGGGCCTTAGGTTGGTGACCCCTGAACTACAGTGTCAGAGGCTGAATACCAATTGCTGGGCATAATAAGGGTTGCTGCTGTCTCACATCCTGCTTGCAAGCTTCCCATTGGTATTTGTTTGGTCACTGTGACAACAGGATGCTGATCCAGCCGGGCTCCACTTTCTGGCCCTAACCCCACTATTCCACAAGCTTTGCTAGAGCTATTGTCAGCATGGCATCCTTCCTTCCAAATAAAAAATAATAATAAAAAGTTATGTACAGTGAAGCTGGAAAACTGTAGGTCCATTCTTCTACATCCTCTATAGCAGTGTTTCCCAACCTTTTTTGGGCAAAGGCACACTTGTTTGATGAAAAAATCTCGAGGCACACCACCATTACAGCCCCGTGACGTCAGCGCGCAGCGTCACGCCGGGAGGGACGCACGAAAGTGTAACTTTCAATTTTTTTCCCTCCCCCTTGCCGGGGAACCTCCAAGCTTTGGGGGTGGGGGGGGAGGAGGCAGCAAAGCGAGGGACTGAGGGACTCCTCCAACGACAAGGGTTGGGGAAGAAGAGAAAGGGCTATTCCGCTCCAGTCACGGGAGGGGAATATGTACTGGCCCAACTGGTGTGCGGTCTTCGGAAAGCGGGGTGCGGGAAGGAAGCCTAGGCTCGGGGTCCACCGACCTCGGCGGAGAAAGGCAACAACCGGAGCCGATGACAAGCCGGCGCGTGCGTGCAGCGGCTGGCCTCGAGCTCGGGAAGCTGCGCGCGGCGATGTTGACGCGGGGGGCGGGGCGGGAGAGAGAGAGAAAGAGTTGGCAGCACCAGGCGCTGTTACTTATTGCGCTGCGGACGCTGCCAGCAACTGCGGTGGTTGTGCGGCGGCCGCCGCCGCAGAACGTCCTCGTCAGTCAGCTGAGCTGCCTGGCGGCGTAGGGAGCCGAGGGGCGGGGCTTCCTTTCTGAAGGAGCTGAGGGTGGGGGTCCTTCGGCGAAACGGCGCCGGCCCAGAGCGCTTCTAGGAGGCTGCCTTTGTGCGCGACGTAAAGCCCTCTTTCCCTCCCTCTAGCCCCATGTCACATGTGGAATAAATAAAAACTGTGGCTGCATTGTAGCTACATCCCGGCCTCGGATCCCCGCGGGATTTGCCTAATCCTTTGGAAGCCCCCTCCCCTCCCCGGCCCCCCATTGTTCTGTCGGGGGTCCTGCGCCCCCCTCTCGCCTGTCCCCCGGGCTTTGTTCTCGATTTGGAGAGGCGGCGAGGCTCAGCTCCGGCTCCGGGAGAGGGAGGCTGCCTTCCAGCCCGCCGTGCGCCCCGGGAGCCTGGACGGCGGGGACGGGAAGGAAGGCGCTTTGGGGGGCGCGGGGCGCCGTCCCGCCGCCGCCTCTCCCAGCAGCCCGGCAGGTAGGGGAGGGCGCGGAGGGGCGCCCGGCGCGGAGCTGGGAGCCTCCGCGAGGCCCCGGCTCGACGGGGCGGGATAAAAAGGTGGCGCCGGCTCGCAGCGCCTCCCCGAGCGCCCTTTGCACTCCGACCGGCGGAAGCGGAGGCTACGCGGCTGCGGCCGCCCAGCCTGGCCGGGGATGGCGGCGCGCCAGGTACCGGCAGCCCTCGAGGGGAGGCGCCGGCGGCGTCCAGGGACCACGCCCGCCCGGCCCGGGAGGCGGTGCAGCGCCAGATGTTGCCGCTGCTGGAGAGCCTCCGAGCCCCGGGAGGCTGCGCGCGGCGGTGGCGTCGTCGTCGTCCAGGCGCGCTGGGGGATGCGGGAGCCGAGGGGGCGCCCGCGGGGGAAGGGAAGGGGAACCCCCTCCTCTGCAGCGGGGCCCGAGGGCCTTGATCCAGATGGGCCGTGGCGCTCCAGCGTCTCCTCCGGTGGAGAGCGGGCGACCTCCGGTTGGGGGGCAGCAGGGGTGCCAAATGGATTAAAATATTGGGGGGCGCCCAGGTAAGCCCCACTCCAGGATAGATGGATTTCTATCCTCCGGGGGTCCTCCGGCGCCTTCGGCGAAACGGCGCCGGCCCAGAGCGCTTCTAGGAGGCTGCCTTTGTGCGCGACGTAAAGCCCTCTTTCCCTCCCTCCAGCCCCGTGTCACATGTGGAAAAGGGGGCTGGATCCAGTGACGCAACTCGGAAAACTGTTAGGGAAGCCAGAGCAGGAAAGTGAGTGGGAGGCGGCGTCGCCGCTTTAACCCACGTTTCCTTTTTGAAAGAGAAACCAGTGTTTCTCAACCTTTTTTGGACTCGCTCGCGGCACACCAGGCAACAGCTCGCGGCACATTAGTGTGCCGCGGAACACCGGTTGGGAAACACTGCTCTATAGCGCTGACTGTTGACTCTTTTGCCCCTGGAAACCATATACTGCAGAGTCTTATCAATCCAATGGATTATAGAGCTTCATGTGCAACAAGCAACAGTGCCCCTTAGTGGCACTTCTACCTATTTGTTCTGAGGTTCCCAGGCTGAAATTATATTGTTGGAAGGAGCTGGTAATATCAAATGGCTTCATGGGTTCCAGGAAACTTGGTGTTGACGTTAGGACAGTAGTTCCATCAAAGCAGGACTTTGGAATGGAAGTCCAAGGCCCTATTACTTGCACCAGTGCATCAGGACATGCTTGAACACAACAGAGTAGCTGCTTTATTTCTCCAAATCCTATTATGTTGAAGGCCAATCTTAAGACACAGAGCTGGTGGCCATGATATGGAAATGGTGATGGTAAAGACCCATTTGTCTTCCACTTTCATGACATTGGTTGAGTTTGGGATAAAAGAAGCATGAACAAGCTCTTTTGTGCTTTGTTGAGCAGCTCTCTAAGATTTGCTGGAGTTGGTAGGCTCCTCTTTATGTTCTCTTTGGTCAAACTCACACAAGGTACTGGGATTTTACTGCCGAATAGTCACCCAGTTTATGTCCAGGGAAGCCAGGTTTAGTGATAAGGCTGTTAAGGAAGAGGTAGATAAATGAAGTAAATTTATTGCGGGGTTACTACTCTCATTCACCCTAGATCAGGGGTGGGGCACCTGTGCCCTCCAGATGTGGGGCTCCAACTCCCATCACATCCAGCAAACATGGCCAGTGGTCAGGGATGATGGAAGTTGTAGTCTAGCAACAGTTTGAGGGCTGCTGAATCCTACCCCATGCCCTAGAAGCTGGCTATACGCACAACTCTTTGAGGTAGCACATTGTGTTTTGCTCTATGTGCTGTTACCTTGAGACATGAGACTTCCAATTCTTCATCCAGGGAGACGTCCAAGTGAAGGCAGAACGAGTGATCCAGTCTGTCATGGCCATTTGCAATGCTCTGGCTGCTGTGGAGTCCCAGGAGATCACTGCAGCCCTGAATCAACTGCCACCCTGTCCATCTCGCATGCAGCCTAAAATCCAGAAGGTAAGAAGCAGGAGTTGGTGTCAGGAAGCAGCAATATTTAATCTGAGTGCCTAAGTTAAATATGAGAGAAAGAGGAGAGCAGAATTATTTTAGCAGACTTTTCCATTTTCTAAAAAGACATAGCTAAGGAAGGACAAAAAGTTGCCCTTGTGACAACTTAGTTATCACACTTGACACTAAAAAGCACATTTGAGACTCTCTTTTTTGCCATATGTGAATACTGTTAAGGCAAGATAGCTGTGAACAAAAACTCAGGTGTGAATTCTAGCCAGTGTAAAGTTTTTGCATTCACACTGTGCACTGACTTTGAGCACACCTGATTTAAACCTTGCATGTTAATTTGACCTTGGACACTTTTGTTGCTGATAACCTTTCTGCCTTCAATATGCAGTGCATATTTTAAAATGCCCTCTTCCAGTACATTCTCAGGAGCTGGATCTGCCTTAAGTGCCATTACATTGGCTGGTGCTTTCCGTTGCAGCAAAAGGTAGAGCCTTTTCAGCAGTGGATCAGCTATTTGGAACTCCCTAGGTCCTTTGTTCTTTGCGTTCAGGGAACATTCAGAGATTTTTCCCTTTTCAGAAAGCTTTTTAATTACGTGGATGGATTTTCAATCAGTTTCATTTATTTATTTATTTTAAAATAGATCTTGAATTTCTCTTTGTTTTAATGGGCTTTTTGTGTATCTTCTGGAATTTTATTTTATTGGCGACTTTTAAAATGTTTTTGATCGTAAGTCCATTTTTTAGCTTCTGGACAGAAGCAAGGAATACACATTTTACAATAAAGCAATAAAGTGGTTAGAATTTTCTCCCAAACCTGGGAAAACGTAGCTGCTATTCCCACAGTTGGATAGCTTGAACTGCTGGGAGTGGAAACATATTGACATATGTTATATAAAGTGTTTGCTCAGAGTTGCTTGCCTTTCAGTCTGATTTTCATAAAATATTTCTCTTCTGGTTTCTCTTTCCTGAACAGGATCCAAAGGTTTTGGCCATGAGGGAAAACAGAGGTAATAATTTCTCTTCTCCTGTTGTTGCTATTGAATTCTGAAGGCTTTTTACTTTCCACTGCCTCCCAAGTGCACTTTTCCAATTATTGCATACTGTTATTTATTGAACAAATCATCATCATCATCATCATCATCATCAGCCCTTTGAATCTTCAGCTTAGACATCTTGAGTCCCTAGAGTTGCTATTCCATTAACCAGACTTTTCAGAGCAGGGTGGTTTCCTAGTAATAATGAAAATTCAGACCTGTTTTTCAAAAATATTGAAGCCCCAACTACACTAAAGACCTTGAGGGATTGTGCTTCGGGGTCAAAGTAAACATAATGTGGGAGATCCTTGAACAGGAACCTCTGCAATGATTTTTTATAAACAAAAAGTTGAAAGGAGGTGTAGAACCCTTTAGGCCACGAGAGACATCCTTCCAGGCCATTTTACCAATGGAAAGTGATCCTCACCCACCCACTGGCAAGCTACTGTTTTGCAACACAAGGCAAAACCATATATTTGGCTATAACTTTTGATAGAATACAGATAATTGAACAATTATCTGTAGAGTGTAGAGACCTGTATGTTTTGGCCTATGTGGCAAATGGTAGCTTTTGGGTTTTGTCCCGAGAAGAGGAAAGGGGCTTGTATCTGTAGATGACCCCCAAGATCTTTCCAAATCTGAAATTCTATTGTCTCTGCTTGTCTTCTGGTATCCCTATCTTAATGGAGACGAAGGAACTTCAGGAGGAAAGGAATAAACTTTAGGATAGGAGTGAGATTAAGTAACTTGTGTAGGAGCTACAAAGTGATGCATGCTGACTTCATCTGCAGTGCCTGTAGCCCTGCCAGTTGTACACCTGAGCTTTATAAATGTTTGTTTATAATCATTTATATACATGTATGTATAATTTATAGTTTATTGTGTTTAGATTTGTACTTCAGTCTAAATGCATTATTAAGGTGGCATAAAGTAAAAAAATAAAATGTTGTTAAAATGAAATGTCACAAACACATATACACCAATATTTATTTGCCAAGTTAATCCAAATTCTGCTGCAAGAAAAACCAATTTCAGTAACCTGTATAAATTATGGTAATTAAGCAGCCTTTTTAAGAAAGCAAATCTCTTTCCACTGTAGCTGTAAAGGGAGTCATGTATGAATGGATGCATGCAGTCGTGTAGAAGCCTGTGGGTAGGCGGAGCAAAATTTTATGATGACCAGGAGGCAGGGCGCCAATGCCTTGCAATAATAATAATAATAATAATAATAATATTTATACTCCACCTGTCTGGCTGGGTTTCCTCAGCCACTCTGGGCGGCTCCCAACAGAACAGTAAAAACAGAATAGAACTTCAAACATTAAAAACTTCCCTAATAGCTGCTTGCTCACTTCAGATTAATAGAAGCAGAGTAAATTACGCAAAATAAGCAAATTTATTGAGTTATCTTAATATGTATAACCCACACAGGACTTTTCTTGGTGCCGAATGCTGGTTTCTTTTTGGAAAAGCTGCAGACTATGACAGCCCTGTAGAGAGGGAACTATAGGAGTCATAAGGAATTTCCAGAAAGCGTTAGCAACTTTGAAGGTTGGAACTTGGCAGGCCTTCCTGTTGTCAGAGGGTCTGCCAAGCATCTGTGGGGGCATATTTGTGAGGTTTCAAAGTGCTTCTGTCAATTCCTACCCCCCTTACAGAGAAAGTTGTGGAAGCTTTGACGGCCTCCATCTTGGATCTGGTGGGGCTCTACTGCAACACATTCAATGCCGACTTCCAGACCGCGATTCACGGGAACCGAAAACATTGCCTCTCCCAAGAGGCCCGGCTTCTCTCCTGCCCCCTCTCCTTCACCGTCTATGCCACTCACCGCATTCCCATAACCTGGGCGGCAAGGTAAGCAGCAACGTCTTTTCTCTGGCGCCAGGGAAGGACCACCTGACACTTTGCGTTAGATCTTGGGATCAATGTGTCTACATACATAGCAGCCATAGTGGGGGCATTATACGTATTTGGATCAGGACTGTAGAGCTGTGCAAAGGTGCAACTCCTTCTTCCTGATTTATACACAGATATCCCTGAAGTTTCTGCTTCCACAGCACACAGCTGGTTGTTATCCATTGGAGCACCTGTGAACTAGTTGTGTCACCCTGGTCAGAAACACATAATCGACCTGGCAGGTTCACACATCACAGTAAGCCAAGCTATGATAGGACAGTTCAACTGTGTTGGCTCCTAGGCAGGAAATTTTGGCTGTTTTGCTCTTCCATAGTCCTTTTTCACTCAGCGCGGCATGGCAGCTAAACCAAGGTTTGGCTTAGTGTGTCGTTGGAACCTGAGATTGTGGTTAAGATTTACAGCACATGGTTAAGGGGGAGAGAGCTTTAACTATGACAACACACTAAACCAAACCTTGGCTTAGCCAAAAGACAAGCAAAGAGCAAAGCAACTGTCCCGTCCTCCATGGGAACTCACACATTCATGCTTAGGCTCAGCATTACGTGTGAACACAGCCATGCTGTTTATCTTAACCATTTCATGACTTCCTGGTTATACAGTGGTACCTCGGGTTACATACTCTTCAGGTTACATACACTTCAGGTTACAGACTCCACTAACCTAGGAATAGTACCTCAGGTTAAGAACTTTGCTTCAGGATGGGAACAGAAATCGTGCTCCGGCGGCGCGGCAGCAGCGGGAGGCCCCATTAGCTAAAGTGGTGCTTCAGGTTAAGAACAGTTTCAGGTTAAGAACGGACCTCCGGAACGAATTAAGTACTTAGCCCGAGGTACCACTGTATTTCAGATTCCGTTTGGCTGCCCGAGGTCACCATCAGTGGGAAGAAATTGTTTCAACCTTTACTGGCTAAATGAAGCCAATTTGCCATTTAAATCCAAGTTGCCGTAAGATCAGCTTCATGGATTCAGTGTCGCGTATTCCCGGCCCCTTGCTCCCCCAATTCTGACAAGTTCTTAGAAATCAGGCTGGTAGGGATTTAAGCAAACACAACATTTTGTACTCGACGCATTTCCCCTCGGAAGAATGAGGCTGGCTAGCTGAGGTCAGAAGACTAGAGGAAAGCTTGCATATAAGGGAGTTGGCTGATCTGACTCTTGTTCAGGGCTGTTTTTGGAGGCTCCCTGGAATGCTCTGGGAGAATCCTTTGGTCTCGGCACCCCGCCTCCCTGGCTCGGTCCTACAGACAGTGACAGATGGCTGCTTCTCAGCCTGGGCTCTTGCCCCTTCAGCCAATGACTGAGTGGAAGGGAATCGCTTAATGGATATAGGGACAATAGGAAGTCTGGGCAGGGAGGGGACATTCCTTTGTAAGCAGCCTTTTGCTTGTGTGTTTGTGTTTCTCTAAAGGCACGGAGGCAGTTATTGGGAGGTGCCCCTTGGTAATCCACATCCCCAGCAGCAGACGCATGCAAGTGGGGGGGGGGGGAGGGTCGGGGTTGGGGAAGTGATGGCAACATTAGCCGCCGCCCCTCCAGGGACCTCTTGCCTTTGTACCATCCTTAATGTATTCCAATGAGTGACTCTGAACAAAGGCAGTAGCCTGGGAAATCCAGGCCTGTCTTGACCTTCGTTGCCCCGCAGCCCTCCCTGCATCATCGCTTGGCACCTGTCACATGGCCGGTCCTTCTGACAAGAGCGCCATGTGATGGCATTCTCCATGGCGTATGTCAATCCAGCTGGCTGGGAAGGAAGTTGGGAGAGTGTCTCTGAAAAGAGCACAGCCTGAGGAAAAGACTCTAGGCTTGGCTTGTTGGGTGTGTGTGGTGTGTGAGTGGTGACAACTGCCACCTTCTAGCCCCCTCTCCCTCAGTCAACAGCTGGAAATGGATTGAGTTCTGCCATTGAGCAGACAAAAGGGTTTCTGCTCAAATTTGGGTCCGGTTTGTGGCAGTTAAGTCAGGGTTAAGAAACCGTCTGACTTGAAATTGCAACCTTGCCTTGGAGGATAGGCTGTTGATGGCTACCAACCACAGTAGCTGTTTTCTATCTCTGCTGTCAGAGGCGGTGTGACTCTGAATACCAGATGCTGGAAATCATAGGTGGAGAGAGTGCTGCTGCAATTGGGTCCTGTTTGCAGACTTCCCTCTGGTTGACCACTGTGAGAATAGGATGCTAAGCTAGGCAGGCCTCTGGCCTGGTCCAGCAAACTTTTCTTATGACCAGAGTTTTAAGAAGAACATGGTTGGCACAACCCTCTTTTCATAGCCCTATTGTTGCTTGTTGTCAGGGAGGAAGTGCCTAGAATCAGTCTGTGGACTCAGGGCATTGACTCTAATCTTGTAAACATATAGGTGTATAGAAATCTAATGATTTCTGCTGTGGCAGAAACGTAGTTAGAAGAGGAAGTTATTAGTTAGCCATTGTTTTATTTTAGTATTTTAACATTTTAATGACTGTTCTTTTTGAAGACCATCCTGGAAGGGTGGAAAAACACAATAAATAATACAACCATTTCCCTCAAGTATCTTAGTGAGCTATGTAAGTGAAGCTAACAGTATTTTGAACAGTGGGTTAAAATACCAGCATTTTTGCCTTATGTCTGTCTGCTGGACATATTTTATACCTGTGCAGTGTAGCAGGATCAAGAATATTTCTGGCATGTGGGAAACAAGCATGACACTTGGTAATGTACATATTGACTATTGTTTTATAACATGTGGTGTTATAAAAGGTCCCTGCCCCAAGTGGCATACAATCTAGAAAGCAACGCCAGAATAACAGCAGAGGAAGGAAAGGGGAGTGGAGGTAAACAGGGGAAAGAACATGTGAATATTGCAGTTGCAATACTGAATAGGGTATTGAAGATTCAAGGATTGCATCAAGGGGTTTCGTGGGAAAATGTATTTATGTTTTGAATATCCTCCAAGGCTCTTTTCAACCCCAAGGCTCAAAGTTGGTTAACTGTAGACTGAAACGCAAACATAAAATGTCCTGTAAAAATGCTGCTGAAACAAACAAAGCAGCACAGATTGTAACCCTGTCCCAGTCTCTCTCTCTCTCTCCCCAGCCCCTCAAAACTGAGCTGAAATAAAAGATCTAGCAAGGCTTCTGGCCTTGATGAGTCTCAAGGGGCGGATGAGAAGTTTCGTAGTTGGGGGTCATCTACCAAGTCAGGATGCCTCTAATCGAATGGACAAGATTTGTGCCTCTCAACCAGACTTGAACCATCTGGGGTTTGCCTGCCATTCATTCATTCTCCTTTGTGTGAGGGCTGGGGGGAGCCGGGGAGGACTAGGTGGGGCTGTTCCAGGCTTGAGATTAAAACAGATTCTCACCAGTGACTCAGCTGCTGAGTTTGAAATAAATCAAGTCAAAGTATTTATTTCATGGGTTCCTCCTGTTTGCTATTTGACTGCAGCTAAGAACTGTAGCAGGCTGCTTCCTCCCAGCCCCTGCCTCCAGTCTTTCGGAGATCAAGGCCTTTTCTTTCTGCTCTGTGAGATAACAAAAAATTACCCATCTCTCCTTTCCTTTTTTTTTTTTTACAGCTATGAAGATTTCTATCTCTCCTGCTCACTCAGCCATGGTGGCAAAGAGCTCTGCAGCCCCTTGCAAACCCGAAAAGCTCATGTGTACAAGTACCTCTTCCATCTCATCATCTGGGACCAGCAGTAAGGCACCTCCCCACCTGCCCTTCCCTGTCTGTGTTGAGAAGGGTATAAAGGAAAGGGTGGGAAAGCAGCTGGGGAAGGGCGATCTCATGTGTTTTTAATGCAAGCTGATAAAGGAGGTGGATGAGAATTAACTCTCCTCTGCTTGTAGCTACATAGCTTTGAAGGCAAAAAGTCACTGTTTCAATTTACAGAGTGAAGAAGCAGTGTAGGGCGAAGGGGGTTCTTAATCTATTGCTTACTTTTAATTTCTCTGCTCTACATCAGCCTACCCCACCCCACAAGGCTTCAAGCCCCATGAGGAAGATGGTGTGTGTGTGTGTGTGTGTGTGTGTGTGTGAGAGAGAGAGAGAGAGAGAGAGAGAGAGAGAGAGAATATGGAGTGGAGTGAGGTATGGCCCACAGGTCCCCCATCCCTGCTGTAAAGCAACATGTGTATTATAAATTAGTAGTGTAAAACAGTGATCCCTAAAAAACATGCAGCAGCTATCGGCAGTAAAGCAGGGCTACCACTCCGTGTGGTTGTGTATGTGTAGTTTGGCCTTCCCGTCTTACAGTGCTGGTTTTCCAAGGTGCATCTCCTGTCTGAAGAGGAGAGATGCAGGTCCGTAAGACAACAAAGGGACAAGCGACAGGCACATGCCAGGGAACTAGGACTGCCTGTGGCTTTTGGCGCATGTCCACTGGGTCTCCTCTTCGATCTTCACAGGGGCTTCCTGGGGAGACAGATAGTGGGAAAGCAGCCAGCTCGTCTGCTGTGTAAAGCGTGACTCGGTCCCTCGCTGCTTTTGTGACTCCACAGAATCAGCCCTGCATGCCTGGACAATTCCCTCCCACAGGCAGAAGTTTGAATCTGAGAAGCTGGCAAAATAACTTCCGATGGGTGTAGGATTTCAGAGGAGTGGGAGCGGGTGTCATCTCCCAAGACCTCGTTTCTATACACTGTGCAGTTGCTGAAGGGGAAGGGAACTTGGTCCTAAAATAGCCTGGGCAGCAGGAAGGCTGCTGGCCATCCCCCTGTCCACTGAGGTCCAGTAACATTTGACGTTTTTTCTAGGCCAGCAAGAGGAGATGGGGGTGGAGGTGGGAAATAGATAATTTTAGAAGCTGCCTGTCCTGCAGAAGGACGCACAGTGAAGCTACATGGAGAGTGTTGCCTCAGCTCCACTCAGCGTGAGTGCTTTATTCAGTGGATGAGCCCCAGGATGGGAACAGCCCAAATGAGGAGCCCACCATGTAGCAGTCTTCCTGCTGGCCCTTAGCTGCACAAAGGGCTTTCAGGCATGTGCAGCACCCTTGGACTGCCTCTGGGCGGGTATCAGGCCACGCTGATCTGGCACACTCCCCAGCTTTGCTAACACTACGGGATCGGCTGAGGGGACTGGCTGGTGGTCCTTCCTGTTAAGATGGCTGAATAGGAAGGGGAAACCCCCTTGGACAAGGTTAGTGCTCATGTGCCTCCCCCAGCTCCTCCCAGGAAAGCTCCAGATGGAAATGGGCGATGCAGGGCGGTTGCACTCCCTCTTGCAACCGGAGACGTCCTTGCACAGCTTCCTCCGAAGCCGGCCTCCCTGTATCTCCAAAGCCTGCTTTTTTAAAAACAAAATCCCCCACAGCACAACGCTGGAGCATATGAAATGTTTAATAAAGCATTTCTGAACACATGCAGTGTGTCATTTCCTCAGCATTTAGTAATGAGCATGTCAGTTGTTTGAGGGGAAGCCTTTTGGAAAGAAGGTGTTTTCCTAATCTTTATACAGCACTGAGAAAACCGTAGGTATTTTATTAAGAGCAGTGGTAGTTGTGGGTGATTAATGTATGACTTCCAAGCATGCTTGAGCCCCAATATCACTCTTTCTAAGAGTGGCAAGCCTGTGTGGTTCACTAGCCAGATGCTTGGATTTTTTAATCTGGGTCACCTTGCTTCAACTCGCTGTTCAGCCATGGACTTCACCGAGTAATCCTAATCAAGTTACTACCTATAAAGCTAAAATAGTGATTTGTGAGGACAAATAAGGGAGCCTTCACTGTAAAGGTCCTGCCCTTTATGATCTAGAACAACCTCCTTCAACCTGGTGTCTCTCTTCGAGGTGAGTCTGGTGCCAGTTATATTCCAAAACATCTGGAGGGCATCAGGTTTGGGAAGGCTGAACTAGAATATCCGGGTGGAGGGGTGTGAAGGAAGATGAGCACATTTGCTTCAAGGACTCTTGGGAAGCAGCTTTTAATCTCTGTATACAGGCAGTGGCCTGAAGTTATGAATTTTAGGAATCTATAACAGATATCTGCTGACTCAGGTACCTACCCTTGGTCATAGATATACGTATATACGTATATTTAAGATGTGGCATCTCCTTCATTAGAGGCTCTTAAGCAGAGGCTTGGTGGCCACCTATCCAAGATGTGTAGGAGCTGATTTCCAGCATCAACAGTGGGTTGAAGTGGATCGCCCTTTCAACTTTATGATTCTATGCAATGTCTAGGGAGGAAAGTCTGCATCCTAACACTGAACATGTTTGTAGTGTCATGGTGTGTCCTGGCGTGTTCTCGTCCAGTGGGATGCGGGTGGTGCTGTGGTCTAAACCACTGAGCCTCTTGGGCTTGCTGTTCGGAAGATTAGCGGTTGAAATCCCTGTGACAGGGTCAGCTCCCATTGCTCTGTGCCAGCTCCTGCCAACCTAGCAGCTCGAAAGCACGCCAGTGCAAGTAGATAAATAGGTACCGCTCCGGCGGGAAGGTAAATGGCATTTCTGTGCGCTCTGGCTTCTGTCACGGTGTCCCGTTGCACCAGAAGCGGTTTAGTCATGCTGGCCACATGACCCAGAAAGCTGTCTCTGGACAAATGCGCATTCCCTCGACCTGAAAGTGAGATGAGTGTCACACCCCATAGTCACCTTTGACTAGGTCCAGGGGTCCTTTACCTTTTAGTTTCTGTCCTTGCACTGAACTGCTGCTTCTCAATGATCCCTGATCACCACTTTGTAATTTTTCCGTCTGTATCTCTGATCTTCAAGAAGGGAAGTCTTCGGCTCTGCCTATCTTTCCCCTTTTCCCGTTGTTCCAATGAGAAGGACCAGCCTACTTCTTTCTCCTGCCAGGAGTGACTTGAGCCAGAAGCTTATGTGTCATGCAGTGCAATTTTTTTTAAAATTTCCATTGCTGCATAGCAGGGGTTCAGACGCTGAGCGTTAGAGCAGTGATAGTCTTTCAACATGACCTATTTCTCCTTTGGCTGCAGCTACAGTCTGAAGCTTCTCCAGAGGAATAATAATATGAGCTTGGGTGGTGGTTGTGCTGTGTATGTCCTGGACGTGTATCCTACTTTCCTTCCTTTCTGCATTTTTGTGGGAAGAAATGAAATGCAGAAATACAACACATATAGGCTAAGCCACACAACTGGAGAAAAGTTAGAGATGGACGAGAAAAGAGCAGGAGGAGGATTTGTTACAGCCGAAGCCTGTAGGGCAAGGTGGGCAGTTTGAGCAGGTCCTCTGCAAAGTGGTGGGTCCCCTCCTATGCCAGTGGGTGCCCTGATAGTTAAAAGGGGGCTTAGGGCACCAGTGAGCCCTTCTGAGGCATTGGGGTTTGCCCAACCAGATGAGGACCCCACATGTTGATACTCAGCCTCCTAAAGGACATGGAATCATAGAATTGCAGAGTTTGAAGGGACCCTAAGGGTCATCTAGTCCAACACCCTGCAATGCAGGAATCTTTTGCCCAACGTGGGGCTCGAAGCCACGACCTTGAGATTAAGAGTCTCATATCTTCTGACTGAGCTATACTGCAGATTTAAAGCAGGCTTAATGGTAATTTTCTTTCTCCGGGCAATCCTGGGATTTTTCCGCACCCTCCCCAAACAATATCCCTTGAGATGCAGTTTGTTGGACATAACGTTCATTGAAATCCAGTTGTTTGGTGTCTTAAAACTGTGCTTCATTATTCCTACCTTCCCACTCTTGACTGCCTCAGAGCCTTGAGGTTTTCCTTATCTTTGAAACCCAGACCGCGAAAATGAATGTTGATGGCCCGGTGTCCCTATAGCTGTAGGATTAAGGCAGTAGAAACAGGTTTCCTTGTGGAAAAGAGATAACAAAATGACACATTTACACAAGTCGCACTCTCTGTGTATGTTTCATTTATGTACGGTATGTGTGAGTGTGCATGCACACACACATGGATCCAATTCTGAGCAGTGATTTATTGTGTTTGTCATACATTTGGATGATTTGCATTTTTATTTCTATTTTTTGCAACTGCGCCTTGAATTCAAATGCAATCGAGGGAAAGGAGGAAAGAAGCACAGGCTCAAAGCTGGCTGAAGTGCACAACCTTCCTACAGGGTGAAACAAGGTCTTATGTGGCCAAATATTAGCAAGTGCTGGATTTATGCCAGGAAGACGCTGATTCAGCTGCTGACGTTTGGCACTGTCTTTCAGTGTCTGCTCAGAACCAGTCAAATGGAAACCACTGTCACTTACCTCACAGCAAATGGCATAATTCCACCACCCCCTCCTTGAAGACTTTGCGTACTAACCATGCAGCAGCACAGCCTTCTCTAGCCTGATGCCCTACAGATGTTTTGGGGCTGCAACTCCCAGTAGCCCCAGAAAGTACGTGTGCAATAGATCTGGAAGGTACCAAGTTGTTGAAGGCTGCGTTGTAGTGTAAGTTATTTTATTAGATAGTTGCTTCTTCGAGGGAAATGGATGTTAAGCTGTCGTTCTTGCTCATTGGCTTCTGCTTCTTCCAGAATCTGCTTCCCAGTCCAAGTGAATCGCCTCCCGCGAGAGACTCTCCTGACAGCCACGCTCTATGCCATTCCAATCCCGCCTCCCGGGAGTTCTTCCGAGACCAACAAGCAGCGCCGTGTCCCAGAGGTTTTGGGCTGGGTCACCACACCGCTCTTCAACTTCCGGCAGTACGTGTGCCTGCTTCTGTGTGGGAGAGAATAAGCAGTGTAGCTTTCCGGGACATCTGTTTGGGATGAATTCCAAAGGGGCAGGCCGTGTCAGCCTGTTAGATCAAATGCAAAAGAAGAGTCTTTTGTCAACTAGAGGCCACTTCATCAGTTGCATGAAGCGTTGTCCTCAGCTGACAAGGGACATGTGCACACATTTCCAGATATGCTGGTGCAAGTGGGAGAAATGGCACATGGTGAGGCCAGAATGGCACAAAAGGCCCTGAACTGCAACAGGCACAGTCTTCCATTACTGAGCAAGGCATGAGTTGATCACAGTGGTCATCTAACAGCAGCAGTAGCTTCCTAGTCAGTCTTCCTAATCAATTTCTGTTCTGTTCCAATTGCACATGTGTAGCATAGTGGGAGAGGAAACCCTGGCCTTGATTAAGTTTTCACTGAATAGAATCAGATTTGCAGACCATAAGTGACCCAGGGGATTGAATAGAGTTGTGGGCTATTACATGCTTGGTGCTTAAGGTCACTCTGTTCCTAATAGCCCCTTTTAAGAAAAAGGCAACTGCTCACGAAAGCAGGCCAGCAAAAGGGTCTTGAGTGATCATGTGAGCAGGATCATATAGTGGCTAGAGAGAGAGAAATTCAGGAGCTGACCCTCCCTAATTTGTAGAGAGATGAGAAATTCAGGGTTCGTCAGTTCAGCCATCTTCTTCCAGACAGTGGTAACATTGCTAAGGAATGGAGTGTGGTAACAGAAAACAACCCTAATGTTCCGTGGGGTGATTTGCTTTGATAAATGGTTTTTTGTTGGCACTGCTTTTGCTAACTGGGTCTTCTTAACTACTACTAGAGCCTGAATCTGGTGCTAATGTCTGTTTTCTCCTGCGTGTGCATCCGTGCAGGGTCCTGACCTGTGGACGGAAGCTCCTGGGTTTGTGGCCAGCGACTCAAGACCCGTCTAGTGCCAGGTCAAGTGCTCCTAACTTCAACCAGCCTGACAGTGTTATTCTGCAGGTGAGTCTCTTCCTTGGGCTCTGTCACCACACACAGACAACCCTAATGTACTTTCTTTGTGGCTCTTATTGTTTGCCTCTTGAGATTGGGGATCCAGCAGTAGTCGCCGAATGGTTCACCTTAAGTTCTTATTCCACTATGTGCTGGACTTAGTATCAGGTCAGGGCTATATTGATTTATCCACCCATCCAAGCAATGGCAAAATAATTGGGGTTAGTATTAGTTCCAATCCACTGAGAGTGGCACAATATTGTGTCCCTACATAAGAGATTGAGAAGGGGAATAGACTGAGTACATAGGGGTAGGAGTGGTGGCAGGAATCTCACGGTTTTCTGAACAGAGAGAGATAGGCACTCCACTATTGGAAAAGGGGCGTGTTTAGTTGTTTTTAAGGTGATGGCATTGCAGGAGATTGCTATGGGGAGTCAGTAGCCTTGCTGGTATAAGTTTTTAATGTTTGATATTTTATTGTGTTTTTAATATTCTGTTGGGAGCCACCCAGAGTTGCTGGGGAGACCCAGCCAGATGGGCGGGGTATAAATATATTATTATTATTAGTAGTATTAGTATTAGTATTATTAATTCATTCATTCTCTGTTGAAGGGAGGGTTCATGTACTGAAGCACTACAGCAATGGCAACTCAGCCTTATATATTTAAAAGCACATATAATCCTTTGAAAACATTCATTAAATGGTACAGACATGAAGGAAGAAGGCACATCTTATTAGCTGTGGTGCAATGGCCACTTCAAGTCACAGTTGTTAGTTGCTGCTAGGGGGATAAATGACACTTTCTCATTAGTCAGGGTGGATGGTGGTGGAATAAATAGCATTTTCCTAACAGCTACTGTGAATGACATTGGATTCCTTGCTACAACTACTTATTTGTTGCATATTCATTCATGGTACAAATATTTGAAGTAAATGATAAACTCTGCATTTCTGTGATAAGACAATTTTCTGAAAAGGCTTGGATTCCAGCTTTTGGTTGATCTGGTAAAAATTGGGATAGGGAGAACCTTTCTCCGAATAAGCCTAGTGCTTAGATATATGAGATTGTCTTCTAATAAATTCTAACCCAAAAATGATTATGCCAGTCTTTAAGGTGCTGCAGGACTTTTTGTTGTAAAGGGAAAAGTGACTGAAAGGTGACTTGTGGAGGCCTGATTTTGCATAGGCTGTAGTCCTAACAATGTCTACTCAGAAGTAAATTCAATTGAATTCAGTGGGGCTTAAGATTGCAACCTGATACTGTCATTTTGGGAAGCTGTCTCTCTGGGCCTTGGCATCCTGAAAATCCTTGTGCTAAGGAGTTGCAGTAGATTTGTGACCCAAAGCACTTGCCTAGTCCCAACACAAGCATAGCATTCTCTATTTTTCTTTCTTTCTTGGATTCATCTATTATATCTGTCTCTCCTCCGGCTCCAATGTCTCTCCCCCCTCCCAGCTTTTTGCTCATTCTGTCTTCTTTTCCCCTCCCCTCCCCTGCACTTGCTAATATCCTTTTGGCTTTGAAGCTAGATGGCAGGACCCCGAGCCTGCTGCTTAGGGTGTGGACAGAAGGAATGGAGGGAGAGGCCGGTGCTGATGAAGTGGAGATTTGGCAGTGGGAGGGGGTGGGGAGCTGGATCCAGCTGGGCTGGGTCTGGAGAGGTTCTCCCCTGGGTCATATCGTGTGCACTATCCTCCTTCCCTGCTGATTTTAAGCAAGCAGAAGGATTATTACTAAGCATCCAAACCAGGCCCTGCTGGAGCTTCAATTACTTCCCTTCCCTAGCCTCCCTTCCCTTCTGTTGCAGTTCTCCGACCTGCTTGTACGGGACTGATTTCTTTGGCACGCAACCAAAAGACTGGTTTTTCTTTTCCAAAGCCACTTACAAACCCATCGAGTTTTGTTTATTTATTCATTTTAAACTCAAGCTGTTGCCGGTAATCCCCTAAACGCTGCTGCTGCTGCTGCAAAGGACCTGCATTTGAGTAAATGATGCACATTGCCGGTGGCGCCATTGCATCCCATCCCATCGTGGTTTTTCCAGTCCAAAGCTGGGTGTGGTTGCGACTTTCTAAGGCTCAAGAAAGACTGAGCTCATTTTCCATCTTTCCTTTTGAAAGATTTCAAGGAAATGTCCTGTTAAACTCATCCATGGCTCCAAACCTTGATACACTATAGGCTTATATAGGGCTTCCCCAAGCATTTGGAGGTCAGCAAATAGCTGCCACTCTAAAGCATGGACAGTGAGTATCTAACTCAAGAAGGGGTTGGACCGCAACTCCCATCCTCCCTGGCTACGCTGGCTGGGCCTGATGGGAGTTGCAGTCCTGTACTACATGGAGAGTACAGGCTCCTCACTTCCAGTCTAACAGCTGTGCTGTTTGCCAAAAAGAAGCCAGGGATAGTGCATGCCTTGTGGTGGCTCTTGGTGTCTCATGGCATCCAAAAGAAGGAAGGTCAAACGAAAGGACCAGCTCTGTGCATGTTATGTACTGAAGTTCTTACCCTGGGCCAGCAGGGGGATACTGTAGATAGTTATGCAAATGAAGGATCGAAAGTGACGTTCAGTGATTGGATAGTTTGTATGCAAATGAAGGATCGAAAGTGACGTTCAGTGATTGGATAGTTTTAGAAAGTCGCAACAGTTACGATTGTTCTGGAGCTCTATATAAGCAGGCTGACTGAGCTCCTCAGTTCAGTTCTGTTCCAGCTTACAAATAAAGAGCTGCTTTGGAAGAATCGCTGTGTCATCTGGTATGTTTGACCACAACTTAACAGTGCATTTGGGTGTTTAATTCAGAGCCAAATCTGATCATTCCACTCAGAGTCCAGATTGGTCTGGGCACACCAGTATTCAGCTGATTTTGGAAGTATCAGGATGGTGTGGTGAGTCACAACCTGAGCACATGGTATTTGGTGGAACAGCCAGATGATTCAGTATTTGCCACTTCCCCAGTGACCTAGATGTGGCCAAGCTAAAGGGGAGTGTAATTTGGCCTTAAACCCCGGTCAGTTCCGCTTCCTGATCTGCTCTTTGGCCTTCTTGCCCAGAAAGTATCCCCATGAAGCTTAGTTTCACAGCACCCTCACAGCTTTTCTACAGCCCCATACACATTCGGACCTCTTTGTTGCAGGAACACTGTTTAGAGCTACGAGGAAAACCTGCTAAAGCATCCCAATGGAAAGGAAAGCATGTGAGAATTGAAACAGCCAACAGGGTGGGCTGGAATTCAATATGTGAAGCAGCTGCCCAAGTGGCAATGCATGGTGCTTTTACATGGCTGCCACTATCAAGTAGTGCCCCAGAAGAACAGGGCTCCAGTATTCACTAGGTGGCAAGGTATGGTCAGTTGTACGGTGTACCCTGTGACTTGGGGGAATGTGCAGGTCTGCATACACATTACACCCTGCAAAAAGGGTGAATGCATGGCCCCCCACAGGTTCTGAATGGTGTGGGCAGAAAAATGGAAAGAGAAAACATACTGCTTTCATTACAATAAAAATATGACTACACAAATGTCTTCATAATTTCTTGGCTGGTTGGTAGGTCTGTCCATTCCACAGATGTGTGTATGGGATGGAGCTGGGACCGCAGTTTGACTCATTATTGTGTCTGCTTTTCCTACTTCTGTGCAATGTGTCATATTCTGTGTGATGAATAATAGGATGCTCAGGTGCAGGACTCCTTTTCAGGCTACTTCCATGTGCTGATAGTGGGATAAGGCATCCCCGGTATCAATCTGCCCTTTCAGGGTGGCAGTAAGTATGTGCTTAAAAGGCCGTTCTTGTCTCCCTACCTTTCCCAGATTGACTTCCCCAGTTCAGCATTTGAAGTCAAGTTTACCAGTCCACCGGCAGCTGATTTCAGCCCCCAGTACAACTTCAACAGCCTCTTTGAGGGAGACCAGCGGAAGCTGAAGGAGGTGATGCAGAAGGAATCGCTTTATTGGTGAGAGGATGGAGAGTGTGTTTGGGCGCACTGTTGTATCAGGGGAGAGATTCTTGGTCACTGACACTTTTTGATGGCCCTGAGTTGAACATCTCGGAGGGGTAATAGGCAGGGGTCCCTCCAGATATTTGCTGGACTATGATTCCCATCATCCCTGACCATTGGCCATGCTGGCTGGGGCTGATGGGTGTTGGAGTCCAACAACACCTAGAGGGCCAAAGCTCTTCCCCATCCTTGGTTTAAGGGGTGAAATGTTTCCTACCAGACTGGTCCCCTCTGCTTCTACTCCCCCCGTTTAATATAATTGCTCTTGCTGCCACATACATTATGTTCCCTCCCTCTTTCTGTGGGATCTGTCTCGCATATTGTCTAGGCTTCTTATCTCCAGTGCTTGCCCCTCTCTCTTTCCATCACTTTCTGAGGCCAGCGCTCAAAGTACTTTCTACATAGTCTGCTCTGTAATCATGCCCAGGCATCCAAACTTGTTCAGCATATGTTTCTCTGCTAGCAATGTATTTTCATGACTACTGACCGTCTTGCTGGGTACTGAGACTATCATCTAAATAAATCTGTTTCCTCCATAAATAGTCTCCAACTGGCAGAGGTGGTTTCGATCTAAATACAAATAAGAACAGAAGGGAATCTAACACTAATAGGCAATCATCTCAGAGTCTTCCTTGTTCCTATTAAACTTGATGAAAAGTTTGTGGAGAAAGGTCTACAGATTAATGTTCAAGGAAATACTGTAGATAAGGAAGGATTTCAAATACTTCCATTATAGCCATGAACAAGTTATTTGGTTTTTCTAGTTTATAATCTGCTCAATGAGGGGCAGCCTGCCCCCACAGTTTATTCCATTTTTAAAAAGTTTTGTTTAATTGACCCTGAAAATGGCCCCATGAGACATTTAACAGCACTATAAAATGTACAGTTAAAAACCAGGTAGCATTGAAACACAAGTAGAAAACAGCTATAAAACTGGAGGCTGGATCCACAGTAATGCTGTTCTCATCCTGGGAATCTGCATGGCTAAAACCATAGATGACTTGGAATATGAGTGGCAAAACTCAAATGCCACAAGAGCCAGTAAGGACTGCTGTCAGACTGTACCCACTTGATATGTTATTAACAACATTAACGCTGATTGCTTCCATAATTGATCCCTTTAGTGTTTCTTTCCTGTAATTAGCCTGGAGTAGAATTAAAGCAGAGATTCCATACAAGCACTTAATAAACTAGCACTATATAATCTAGCAATTCTGTTCTCTTTGGCCCAGATTCTCCTATAATGGGCTGAGCCTGCATGCAGGGAGTTCTTAATTAAAGGCACATGGGCTTTAAGAGCCTCATAGCACTTAGTCCACCCAGGACAGGCTGCTATGGTAATTGCATTTAAATTAGCCAAAATAGTCATAGGTCAGGTTTGCAAAGCACTGAGGGACACTGAAATGCAGCAGACGGACAATGACATTACCTGGACGTGCCATAAAAAGTGAACAAAAGAGGGCAATTTCATAAAGAAAGTCTTAATATGAAAGCAGGCGCTGCTCTTAACTCTTAAAGTACAGTGGTACCTTGGTTGTTGAACTTAATCCGTCCTGGGAGCCAAAACATCCGAGTACCAAGGCGTTCGACAACCAAGGTATGACTGTACATTAAAACAGGGGGAAGTTTTGATTTTCACCTTCTACCCGTTGCCTTCACTGGCATCATTTGGGTGCCAGGTAAAGACCTACCTCTTTTCCCAGGGCTTTGATGGAGTTAATTGATTTTGTTGTTGGTATGTGTCTAACACTTCCTGTTGCTGTTGGGGTGGGAGGGCTGTTTTCTGAATGAGAAATTGTTCATGTTTATATGATTCTTCTTTAAGTGTGGTATAGTATATATGAGTGTAAATCTTAAGTGCTTAATTAATTTATATACCACTTGGATGCAAAAGTGGCCAATATATTGTAATATGCTTGGATAACTTTTTGGGTAACTAGCAGCTAATAAGCCCAGATAGAGTTGTAGTGTTTTTCTTTGAAGGTTTTTCTTCTGGGTGGTTGGGGTCATCTCCTTCAATTTATTGGCTACCTCCAATCCTGCTCTTTGTCCTGAACATATTAGTATATAAATAGATCCGATGTCAGGCTGCCCTCACCCTTTCCCCTCTTTGGCTGAAAGCAAGAAAGCTTTCTGCAGCATTTTCTCAGTGCTTGGTAGGGGCAGACCATCCCTTCCTGGCATTGTGCAGTAGGTTGTGCCACTTCCCTTCCTGTCTGCTCTGGGTCACAGCTGCGGTGGGAAGTTCTCATGGATGGCCTGTGCTTTTCACTCTCCTTCATTTTTGTTCTGGCCTGAGTGAGTGAATGTATTTCCTGGAGGTGGCTTAAGGAAACCTGTGGGAATGGAGCTAGCCCTATTATGCAAGTGCCTTGGCCATATTGCTTTGCCAGCATCCGGACATTCAGCCCCTCCCTGTTATTCCTCTAGCACTGCGGCTGGGCTGATCTTGATGGCCCTGGATCCTAGCTTTGGCCTCTCACAAAACCAACCCTGGTCTCCCTCCAATTCTTCTGTGTGATTCAGTTTTCCTCTCACTGCCTTGCCAAGACAGCTCAGAGGCACTGTCAGTCCTCAGTCCCTGGGAAATGGCTTTCAATGCAAAAGCTCAACACTGGAACACACCAAGTCATTAGTAAGTGGCTCAATGGCTGCTCACCATTAAGCAGCTACTCTAACATATTTGGGATTGGGAATGTGGCTTCCAGGCCCCTTGTTCTACTCTACTCTTGTCTCTCCAAGCTATTCTATTTTCTTTGGCCTTCTGTTCTCCCCCCCCTCCCCCCTATACTGCAACTTCTCCCTGTTCTATTCCAGTTCAGGACACCTCCAGTTGCTCCTCAAATTTTGGTCTTTTACCTTCCCTGAACACAGGCCTCCATATTTCTCTCCTCTCCGCCACTTACCCCTTTGCAGTCCTGAACTGCATGGACAAGTCCTGCTCAGTCCCCCCGCCTCTCTTTAAGACTGACTGCCTTAAAAGATCTCTTTCATACCCCTCACTTTTGACCTTTTCCCCCCTGAGCTGTCCCCATGAGCTGCATTGACCTTCAACATGGAAATACCCCTCAGGCACCAAACAAAATCAGTGCTAGCTAATTTTCTAGCTGGAGCCTGAGCCACAGAGGGGCAAGCATCATTTTCAGGGCTTAGCTGTAGAAACATAGAACTCTACAGTTGGAGGGAATCACAGCTAAAGAATCCCTGACATGCGGCCACCCAACTTCTGTTTCGAAACCTCCAATGAAGTAGAGTCCACCATCTTTGGTGGTAGACTATTCCACTGTCAAACAGCTCTCACCATCAGGAAGTTCTTCCTAAAGTTTTGTCATAATCTTCCTTGTAAGTTGAATCCATTGGTTCAAGTCCTACCCTCCAGAGCAGAAAACAAGCTTGCTCCATCATCCATGTGACAGCCCTTCAGATATTTGAAGATGGCTGCTGTATCAACTCTCAGTCTTCTCTTCTCCAGGCTAAGCATACCCAGCTTCCTCAGCCATTCCTCATAATGCTTGCTTTCCAGACCCTTTATCATCCTGGTCACCCTATCTGCACACATTCCATGCCCACAATCCCTGTTTTCAATGTAGGGCTTTGCTTTGAAACATGTAAAGAAATAGTGTCTCATCATTGTCTATTATTAGCTCATTGCCAATCATCTGTGGTTGGCCAGGGTTGGTTGGTAGGCAGAACATCTGGATCAGAGAATGCACTTTCTGAGTCTCATTACCTCATTTTCTTGAAATTAAGCACTACTAGTTCATTCTTTCCTTTAGTTATTGCCAGACTGTTGTGCTATCAAGTCTAGGTTGGGGTTTTTTTTAAGGTTGTATCATAGTTTTTCAGGAATTTTTAACCCCCTCCTCCCTAAAATTCAGCTTCATGTTGAATCATCAGTCCTTTGGTGGGGAGAAAGGATGCAGGTGGAACCTCAAGCAAGAGCAGAGGTATTTCACTGCGTCTGGATGACACAGTGCTCCTCTTCCTGAGGGCTCTTGCGTTCATCACAGGCTGCAACTTCCTTTCCTCCTTCAGCTCTTACGGCAAGAGAACCTTTGACCCCATTAGACTGGGGATGGAATTGCTTCAAGTCACCCCATTAGCCACCTGATCCCATCTTCCCCATGGAGAGAAATGGATTGACTGGTAATTGAAGCACGCAGCCTTGTTCTGTTTGAGATGAAGCAGTGTGCTGTTGTCTTTCTGTGGTTTTGCTGCTCTCTGGTGGAGTCCCAAAGCAACATCAGTTTGGTGGTGGTGAGGAGACACAGAACAGCCAAGGTTCAGTCTGTGTTCCTGTGAACAAACAGTATATGATCAAATGGCGCTATGCTCTTCTCTAGCAGTCCTACATGAGAATGGGCTGTTCTCTCCCTCTCTCATACAAACAAACTGCACAGAAATATATTTCTGACGGCCTCCCCATTCTTTTTGTGCCTTTATTATGCGTCAAATATGCATAAGGTTCCCTTAAAAGCACAAGTGCCTTCCTAGATCAGGTCAAAGAAAGGCTCATAGTTTCTGTTCCAGCATCGGGTTTCCAGAATCAGCCAGTTTGGGTGCTTCTGGAAATTTTGCAAGTGCCATAGCTAATAGCCCTTGTGTCCCCAGACTGATCTTAAGACTTCTCTTGTCCCAGGCTAACAGATGCCGACCGGAAGCGGCTGTGGGAGAAGCGTTATTACTGCCACTCTCAGCCGGGCTCCCTGCCTCTGCTGCTGGCCAGTGCCCCGAGCTGGGAGTGGGCCTGCTTGCCTGACATCTATGCCCTGCTGAAGCAATGGACTCACATGAATCACCAAGATGCTCTTGGGCTGCTGCATGCAGCGTAAGTCATCTCCCTAGATTTGGGGTTTTTTATTGTATTTTGTGAAGGTGGTTTTATGCATTTGGGGGAGGTTCGTTTTATTGTCAGTGTTTCTTATTGTTGTCTGTTGCTTTTGAAGGTTCTTTTTGGGGAGAGAAAGAGGGGAACTGTTAAGTTTTACACATAATAAAAGGTGGCTACCAACATGGAGGTGGAGTTGTCCTCTAGTGAAAATCTCCTGATATGTCGCTGCAGGTTCCCAGATCAGGAGGTGAGGAGGACGGCTGTGCAGTGGATTGATTCCATATCTGATGCTGAGCTACTGGATTATTTGCCCCAGCTGGTACAGGTAAGTCACATGTGTTACCTGAGAAATATTTCCATTCCATTTGGGAGCACACATGCCAGTGGCTTGTGTGCTTGGACAGCATTGTATCCCGGGAGGCAGCTGCCGTGGCAGAGGGCTTAGTTCTCTGGAAGCTCAGAACCTGAGCAGCAAAACCCTAAAGCAGTTTTTCTCCAAATGGTTGGAGTTTCAGAAGCCTTTGTAAAATGGCCAGTGTCTGATACCCTAAGGATAGGTTGCTAGGCTCCAGTTCACCTGTACTAGAGATAGTGGAGCATTCAGAATTAAAGCAGGATAATACGGAGGAAGAACTCTTATAGGGCAAATCCTTCCAGCAGAATTTCAGACTGCTGCCATAGGTCATGTTCCTCAGTTCGTTCTCTTGTATTCTACAGTTAATTAGAAATAGCTTTTGTTCTCACAATGAGCAGCGTTTAGATTTGTATGGGAGGACTGTTTCAAAATCTTAACATTTTGCCTTGATGAATTCCTACTAAAAAACAAAACAAAACCCCAGTGTAATAATTTTGTTTCTCATCTTTGCTGCCTGGAATGTAGAGAAATTTTTTTTCCCTGTCTTTGGGTGAATGCTTGTACTGAGGTTGTCAAGGTTTGCCTATATTTTCTAGGCTAATTTACCTCAGGTATTCTCACAATTGCAGTGCTGAGCGGAACTATCACTACTCTGCTTGTTTTTGTTTCTTTTTAAGGCAGGGGCAACATTTTACTCTTCTACCATACTTTCAACGTCCCAATTTGTGTTCTCATAAAAATGGTTATGTTTTCAACACCCTGTGTGAGAAAACAAACAAACAAATAAATAAATAAAGTCTTGCAATGTAAGAGGTAACATAGTAATAGTACTACATTAATTGATTTTTGGGTGATTTTCTTGGGTGCTTTCCAAGCTGTAGAGCCAAAAGGAAAAAAGCACATGTTTTTCCTCAAACAGGATACAGAAAAGGGATGGTGGTGGAAGCAGTTTCTCAACCCTGGGACAGGGCCTTTTCTGTGGTAGTGCATTAGTAGGGGGTCCTCCTTCCTACAGAACAAAAGGCCAACAAAATTCTGAGTTCTTTACGTTTTTTATGACTCACATGCATCTTGATTGAATCTCCTTTAGTTGTATACCAGCTTGTAAGGGCTATGCCCCCAAAGGCAGACTATTACAGAATAACCAATCTGTTCTTTCCTCTCCCAGGCTCTGAAATATGAATGCTACCTGGACAGTCCCTTGGTGCGGTTCCTTATGAAGCGAGCCGTCTGTGACCTGAGGATAACTCACTATTTTTTCTGGTAATGTTGGTGGATGTGCTGTTGGCATAGTGAATGATTTAGAAACAAGGGTGTGTGTGTGTGTGTTTTAAAAAAGAAAGAGAGAGAATCTGAAGAAGTTATGATGATCAAGTTTGAATCTTTCTAGCAGACGCTAGAAAATGTTCAGAACATTATGCTTCCATTCACTGTTACCAGCCTTTGAATAAATGATTTCTTTCCTAAGAATTGCTTAGCATTACACCCATAAATACCTTTGTTCAGAACTGGATTTCTATGCTTTCATTTCTTTCTTTCTTTCTTTCTTTCTTTCTTTCTTTCTTTCTTTCTTTCTTTCAATTAAATCAAGCCCTTTTTTAAATTAATTCAAGTTTCTAGTCCTCATGAGGAGCAGTTTCAGGAGTCTGAGAACCTTAGCCCCCTCTGTTTTGTGTTACATTATTCTGGCTACCTTTAACTTATATTTTCAATTTTTTTAAAATAAGAAATTTGGTTTTAGTCAAGAAAACTTGGTTTGTCTCCTAGGTTGACTTGGTCTGTCTAGGAGACAGGAAAAAGACTTTGCTTATCTGTGCTTGTGTTGGTGTGGATGGATGGGTCTTTCACATGAACACCACTGCTTCTGGTGACAGTGTCTCCATGTCTCTAGGCTGTTGAAAGATGGTCTCAAGGATTCTCAATTCAGCATCCGTTACCAGTATCTGCTGGCAGCTCTGCTGTGCTGCTGTGGCAAGGGCCTGAGAGAGGAGTTTGACCGCCAGTGCTGGCTGGTGAACACCCTGGCTAAGCTGGCTCAGCAAGTTCGTGAAGCTGCTCCTTCATCGCGACAGGTATGTGTGCTTGCAAGCACCTCTTGTCTTCCATGAGTGTGTGATGGGGAAGGAAGAATGAAGCAGCAAAGGAGACTATTCACCAACCTGGTTCCCTCCCAAATGTTCTGGACTACAGCTCCCATCAGCCAGTGTGGACTGGAACTGATGGGCTTTGGGCTACAATCTGTCTGGAGGGCACCTGGTTGGTGAGGCCTGCTGTAGGAACCATCTAAAGTCTATTTTGTTTGGGAATGCAAAGGCTGATGTGAGAACTAAATAAATAATTGCCAGCCTCTTAGCAAGAAGCAAGGGCCTGGGCTAAAATTCAGCCATTGCAGTTTTCAGCTTCTTCCATAAAGTGGCTTTTGAGGTTCACCTTAAGACTGCCCTGTTCTGTAGCCTGACTCTATGGCATGTGAACTAACACCTAATGTTGTGTCAGCAATAATCAAACTCAAAGTAGACCCACTGAATTTAATGGACATGGTTAATTTAGGTCCACTAATCTCAATGAGTGGGGTGTGGGTGGCGCCTCGGGCTTGCCAATAAGAAGGTCAGATGGTTCGAATCCCCGCGACGGGGTGAGCTCCCGTTGTTCGGTCCCAGCTCCTGTCCACCTAGCAGTTCAAAAGCATGTCAAAGTGCAAGTAGATAAATAGGTACCACTCTGGTGGGAAGGTAAACGGCGTTTCCGTGTGCTGCTCTGGTTCACCAGAAGTGGCTTAGTCATGCTGGCCACATGACCTGGAAGCTGCCTGCAGACAAACGCCGGCTTCCTTGGCCTATAGAGCGAGTTGAGCGCACAACCCCAGAGTCATCCGTAACTGGACAGTCAGGGGTACCTTTACCTTTTTAAAATCTCAATGAGTCTACTCTGAGTTGGATACAACCTTTAGCTCCCAAGCTCTTCCCCTCCCACCTCCGATGTCATGCTTCGTGCCAGATTAAGCTGCAAATTCTTTAATAATAATAATAATTTTATTATTTATACCCCGCCCACTGCCCACCTGGCTGGGTTTCCCTAGCCATTCTGGACTGCTTACAGAAAATATAAAACATAATAAAGTATCAAACATTAAAAACTTCCCAATACAGGGCTGCCTTCAGATGTCTTCTAAAAGTTGTATAGTTCTTTATCTCCTTGACATCTGAAGGGAGGGTGTTCCACAGGGAGGGCGCCACTACCAAGAAGGCCCTCTGCCTGGTTCACTGTAATTTCGCTTCTCGCAGTGAGGGAGCCAGCAGAAGACCCTCGAAAGAGGACTTCAACGTTCAGGCTTAACAATGGGGGTGTTCTCCTCTTCCCCTTCTCCTTCTTGATGACTGAGATCGTCAAGAGGAACATTATCCACTGTTCCCCATGTTACAGAGGCCTATCAAGATATGATAGCCATCTTCAAATATCTAAAGCAGGGGTCGGTAACCTAAGGCCTATGGGCCACAAGCAGTATACCCCGCTCCTTCAGGTATACTCGACCAAGGCCATTTAGGGCTTTAAAGGTCAGCACCAACACTTTGAATTGTGCTTGGAAATGCTCTGGGAGTGTTTACAAACCTAAATCCTGGAAGCAGAAGGTACTCCTTGAACCTGGAAAAAGTAGTTGCGTATTTGAACATGGCACCTCATTTGCAAACTTTTAGGCAAAATTTGCTTTAACTGCCCAATTGAATGTGGAATTTGAGTGGCTCTTGGTTCAGCATTGGCGGAGGGAGGTTGGAACAGCATGTAAACATTATGTCAAGAATGGGCTTGTGCAGCAACCTGTTTTGGGATGGGTTCCAAACCCAGACTTCTGCTGCATCAGAGGTTGGACTGGTGCCTGGGGCAGGCAGCAGGTCAAATAGCCTGGTACTCTCTGCTGAACAACTTTGTGCTTGTGTTTTTTCTTTCAGGCCATCCTTCGTGAGGGGCTGGAGGATGTAAAGCAGTTCTTCAATGTTAATGGCTCCTGCCGCCTCCCGCTCAGCCCCAGCCTGCTGGTGAAGGGGATTGTGCCCAGGGTATGTCTCTGAGTGTGGGAACCACTGTTTTCTGGTGTGCTGTAGCTTCTTTCCTCTAAGTTCAGGCATCTTGGATACTTTGAGCTTCCTGAAGATGCCCAGGCTTGGCTGCACCGTTTGCATTGGCAAGATTTGAAAGTAGCTGCTTCCTCTCTGTTGCAAAGCAAGCTGCTCCTGGGGATAGGAATGATTGGCTTTCAGCCATTAGCATCCTTACCACTTAACTTTTCAGTTTCAAATAATTTCTGTCAAATCCTCTTTTAAAGCCATCTAGGTCGGTGTTCATCACCACCCCTTGTGGGAGTGAGTTCCATAGTTTAACTAATACACTACATGGATAGCACTTTCTTTTATCTGTCCTGAGTCTGTACATTAATACTTCACATTAATTAGGGCATCATCAAAAGGCCAAGAGGAAGAAAACCCTGGTACAGTGGGTACAGTGGTGCCTTGGTTTACAACCATAATCTGTTCCAGAGGTCCGTTTGTAAACCAAGGTTGTAAACCAAGGCGCGCTTTTGCCAATGGGGCCTCTAAAAAAAGTTTGCAAACCGGGACACGCACTTATAGGTTTGACATGTTTGTAATCCAAAATGTATGCAAACCAGACTGTTTGCAAACCAAGGTAGCACTGTATCTGGGATGAGCTGGAATCCTCATCTTGGGGGAGATAAAACATTATATTTCTGGCATGATCCTAGGCCATGGGTCCCCAAACTAAGGCCCACGGGCCGGATAAGGCCCAGGGGACTCATTTATCTGGCCTGCGGTGACCTCTGCTGCCGCCCCCCACTCTTACCGGCGCTGCGCTGCGTGGCTGCCCACTTCTGGGTCAGAGGAGCACCAGAAATAGCTTGTGCACATGCACAAGCATTATTTGCACATGTGCAAGCGTTATTTCCGGTGCACATCTGGGTCGCAGGAGGCCCGTGCACATGCACACAAGCTATTTCCGGTGCTCCTCCGACCCAGAAGTGTGCCGGAAATGGCGTGTGCGCATGCATATGGGCACGCGCTCCCCCACCCTCCTGCCCACCGCACGATCGGTGCTGGAGACACTGGCCCGAGGCGTGGTAAGTTTGCTGACCCCTGTCCTAGGCCTATGTTCTCCGAGAGCCCTTCTGTTGATGCTAGGGGACACCCACTTCTTATGCAGCTAGGGTGAGAAAAGCACAGGCCATTCTGACCACTTGCTCCCCCATCTTACTCTCTTTTACTGCAGGACTGTTCCTATTTCAACTCCAATGCGGTTCCTCTGAAGCTCTCCTTCCTGAATGTTGACCCTCTTGGGGAGAATATCCGTGTCATTTTTAAGGTGAGCCGTGATGTTTCTTACTTGGGTATGGCTACAATTTTTCTTTGCCCAGATGCTTCTGAACAAATCCCTGATCTAGGGATTCTAGTGTTGCTTGATCTAGTGTTCAAGCAATATATTGTAAGTTCTTCTTGTGTCTTCTAAAATCCATCACATTTTTTTATTTTTTAAAAACGTGATTAGACGTTTTTAGTCTGTGGCAAGCAGGCTTGAAAAGTAAACTATGCACCCATGAAATAAAAGCATTAATGGGCTCCATTTTCACTGGCTAGGAATTTCAGTGTGCGTTTCTGGTTGTGTATTTGCAAGGTTAAGCAGGCTTCAGCTCTACTACCCACAGCAGGTGGGCAGTAAAGCCATAGCATCAGGCAAAGGACATTTTATAAGGCCTGCATGCATGTTGCTGACTTTGGGACTTCAAAGTGAATGATCACCTAACATCAGGTGATTGACAAGTGGACCAAATTTGGCCTGCAGGCCTAGGACCTGACCCCAGGAGCCAGAAAGGTTCTCCACACTTCATCAAGCTGTTCTCTTAACCTCTAGCCTCTTTTCCCCATTCCCCCTGAACCTGCCTGCCAAACAGTAGTCCTCCAGGGTCTGGAATATCAGGAACCAACTCTCTTTCCAAATAGCTTCAGAACCTCTGGGAATCCACATCATTGCTTCTCCACACTTAAATAAAAGGTTTTGGAAGCAGGGATTTGATTTCCAGTACTGCCTCTTGCCTTGCGCTGTTTCACTCTCCACAGTGCGGAGATGACCTCCGGCAGGACATGCTAACTTTGCAGATGATCCGCATAATGAATAAGATCTGGGTGCAAGAAGATCTGGACATGCGCATGGTCATATTCCGCTGTTTTTCTACTGGTCGAGGTCGAGGTAAGTTTTCATCCAAGTACAAAATGAAACTTTTTCGGTTCTTCTTCCTCAGCTGCGCGTGTTGGTGTAAAGCAGAGTCCCGTGCCCAGCGGAAGGATGAGGAGTACGTGCTGCATACTCTATATTGCTTTATTTATAGTTCAAAGCTGGTATATTACAGAAAGACATCTTGCCTCTGCCGGAGCAGAAAATGCATCCTCTCTCCTCGACAGCTCGGAGAGAACCACACAGTGAAACTGTAAAGAACAGTGAAAAACAGGAAACCAGTGTACGTCACATCCAGTCTCCCTTTCCCGTGAGAAACTCCAACAGTACAGACTGTGGAATGTAAACACCTGTCTCGTGACAAGCCCTTTCGCTGCACAGTGAAGGAAAGCAGAAACCAACATCCTCCCCCTTTCTGTGAACATCACTGGGCAGCGTGTTCGTACAATATCAGTACAAACCCAACTTCTGCACATAGGTACAGTGTTGATCCCTTGATACAATCTTGGACAATACATCAGCAGGAATTTCATTACCTGGCATATAGGACACCGTTACGAGTCCCTTCTGAATACATTCCCTAGCATGCTGCAACTTTAATTGCAAGTGCTTCGTGCTTTGCTTACAACCTTCAGACTTCAGCAAAGCCAAACATGCTTTGTTGTCCTGGTAAACCTGGATTGGACATTTGACAGGAATTTTCATATCTTTGCACAATTGTACTAACCATTCACAATCCTTAAGTGAATAAGATATCTTTGCACAATTGTACTAACCATTCACAATCCTTAAGTGCATTCAGTTCGGCTTCACAAGTACTTAAGCTAACTGTTGTTTGCTTCTTGCATGACCAATCAAACAGACCCTGATTGTACATGTAGCAAACTCCAGACGTACTTTTCCTGTCTGTAGTGTCACTTCCAAAACTTGCATCTGCAAATATCTCAAGACCACCAGACTTCTGATTGTTAAGTCTCAGTCTGTAATGCATAGTGCCTTTCAAATACCGCGCTATGCGTTTCAGAGCTTTCCAATCCTTGACACTAGGATTGTTGACTTGTCTGCTTAGCAAATTACAGCTAACAGCAATGTCTGGTCTTGAACATCTGGCAATGAAGTTTAGCTTGCCTAGCACACTTCTGTACAGTGTAGTGTCAAAAAATGCTTCTTCAGTGTCATCTACCTGATAACCTGTTGTCATCGGTGTGTCTACAGGGTTAGCATCCATCAGGTTTAGTTTGCTTAACACATCAGCAATTTTCCGTGATTGGTGTACTAGAATGTTACCATCTTGATCTCTCTCTATTTCCAGAGATAGGTAGTTGTTTACCTCACCAAGATCTTTCATGTCAAAGTGCTCTTTCAGTTGAGCTAGGGCGTTATTGTACATTGCGACATCTTTCCAAAAGAATAATAAATCATCAACATAAAACAAACAGTACAGTTTCTTTTGCCCCTCCTCTTTGACAAATACACATGGATCAGCTTTCCCTTGCTGAAAACCTAGAGAAAACAATACTTCAGTGAGTTTTGTGTGCCAACACCGTGCACTTTGTTTGAGACCATAAAGGGATTTCTTCAGAGCACAAACAAATCCCTGTTTACCTGTACGCCATCAGGTGGAAGCATATAAAGTGATTCATCTAGAGATCCGTACAGAAAAGCTGTATTAATATCATGGTGACTAATGTGTAGATTTTCCTCTGCAGCTAGCTTGAGCATAAGCCTAATGCTTTCATACCTCACTGTGGGTGAGTAGGTCTCGTGATAGTCTTCACCTGGTACCTGTGCAAAACCTCTGGCTACCAATCTGGCTTTGTGTCTGACTATCTTGCCATTTTGATCTGTCTTCGCTTTGAAGACCCATTTGCTTCCAAGCAGTTTCATTCCTGGAACTACTGGAACTAGCTCCCATGTTTTGTTCCTTTCTAAGGAATCAAGCTCAGCCTTCATGGCATTTAACCATGGCTCAGCTTCCTTTGAATCCAAACTCTGGATTTCTTGGAAACTTGAAGGTTCAAATACCTTCTTGGAGCTTTTAACAGCTGTTACTGCTATCGTAGCAAACTCATCAGCAAATCTCTTTGGAGGTCTGCCTTTTGTGGCTCTCTGTGACCTACGAATTAGCCTTAAGTCTTCAACACTCTCCTCTTCCTTCTTAGGAGAAAAACGACCTATTGTGAACAATGGTTCCTCCAATTCTTGATCAGAGCTTTCAGAGGGTCGCATAGAGGCTTTCGCACTCTTGAAATCCTCTGAATCACCCGATTCAGTTTCAGATTCAGACTCAGAACCTTCATCAGTGGGTGTGGGTTGTTGTGGTTGTTTTTGACTATCCTCAGTCTCATCACCGTCATCAGGATAACATTGGAAAATTCCCACATTCTCCCCCCACTTTGCATTGTACTCAACACTTCTCGTGAGCTTAATTGTCTTAGAGTCAGTCATCATTATTCTGTATGACCCTTTCTGATAACCTAGAAAGATACCATGCAATCCACGCTTGTCTAACTTGGAATTTTGTGGTGAGTGAACCCACATGTCAGAACCAAAAATTTTCATGTGTTTGATGTATGGCTTCTTGCCAAACATCTTCTCATAGGGGGTACAACCAATCGCTGAAGATAACCTGCGATTGTAACTGTAAACAAAACACGAGAGAGATTCGGCCCAATAACTCTCTGGAAGATTGGCATCATGCAGCAAGGTTTTTAACCCTTGAAGCAATGTCTGATTTGCCCGTTCCGCAAGTCCATTCTGCCATGGCGAGCGAAGGACTAGACAAATCGTGTTGAATTCCTTTCTCAGTCAGAAAAGCTTCAAACTGCTGAGAAGTGAATTCTCCCCCGCGATCACTGAAAAGAGTCTTTATCTTCTTACCATGCACATTTTCCAACCAAGCACAGAATTCCTTGAACCTAGGAAAAGCCTCTGATTTCTGCTTGAGATTATACACAAAAATATATCTAGAAAATGCATCAACGAGAACCATGAAGTACCTATTTCCACCCAAAGAGGGCGCTAGTGGTCCAACCAAATCTGCATGAACAACCTGGTATGGTTCCGTAGCTTGCCTACTAGACACCTTACCTTTCGCAGCCATTTTCACCTTGTTTGCTGCGCATGCTTTGCACTTCATGTGGTACCTGCAGGGTTTAATAGTCATACCTTCAACCAAGGCAGGCATTTTAGATACTGCCTCAAAATGCAAATGACCAAATTTTCTATGAAAATCGTGAATACATTCTGCATGCAAACTTTTGTTAGAACCTGCAATGCAACAAGTGTCATCTTGCACAACATCATCATAATACAAAACAAACAAACGATCAACATATTCAGCATGCAATACATAATCATTTTTCTTTGTGATGATGCACTTCTTGTTCTTGAAGGACACGTCAATGTTCCGCTCATTCAGCTGTCCAACGCTGAGCAGATTATGTTTGGCGTCTGGCACGTAAAGCACATTCTGTATCGATAAGTCCAAACTGTGAAGAACAACAGTTCCGTAGCCTTTACTCGGAATAGTGTGGTCATCCGCCTGGTGAATCGCACCTTCCTGCGGTGTAAAAGACACAAACAGTCTCTTATCGTTGCACATGTGGTGGGTTGCCGCTGAATCAACAACGAAGAAAGATCTAGACGTCTTCTGGACCTCTGCAACCTTTGGAGTGAAGCGTGAAACCATAGCCTTGTGCTGCGTTGTCCTAGACACCGGACCTTTGCCTTTGCCTCGGCCTTTTCCACGCGATGAGCTTTCGCTGCGCTGCTCTGTCTTGGCCCTGGGATATCTGCATTCCCTCTTCATATGGCCTAGACGTCCACACGAGTAGCATTTCACTGCCTTCAAAGCTTTGGCGCCATCTGGTGGTTCCACTGCACTATGGGACGACGTCTGTGAAGACTCCCCCTTGCCCATGCAGCTAGCACCCCGGCGATCTGCTTCATTTAAAATCACGGCAGTAACAAAGTTTACTGTCAGCTGAGCAGTTGGCTGCACAGCAATCTGGGTTGCAACAGACTCCCAACCTGAACCCAAAGATTGTAGTATCATGAAAGAATACACAGCCTCTGGAAAGTTGAGTCCTCTCTGTTGCAGCTCATGTCTCAGATTTTGCATCTCCATCAGATGTAAACGCACATCTCCACCTTCAGCAAGAGCCATATTATGCAGCTTGTTAAAGTAAAACATAGTAGATCCAGCTTCTGTCCTTAAGTGAGCCTCTCTCAAAGCGTCCCAAATTTCTCTGGCTGAGGTCTTATCACGCAATAGACAGAGCTCTTCTGGGGATACTATCAATGTAAGAGTTCCCCTTGCTTTGGAATCCTTAGCTTCCCATGCATCTGTAACTGGAGCTGGGGGGGTTTCTGTAATCACCTCAAACAAACCCTCTTTCCGCAGAATTGCCTCTGCATACAGAACCCAGTCCGCATAATTTTTCTTGTTGAGCTTAGGAATCCCACAAGCATCCTGAAGGGCCATCATGACTCTGGCATTAGCCTTCAGCGTCATCTATGCTGCTTTAAATCTTGCTGCGTCACTGCTGCAGCTGCTTTATTCCAAAAGCGCTTTTAAAAGTTACTTTCGATTTCCCCAGCATAGTAACTTGTGCTTGGGAGCCTTTTGCCTATTCCCGGCAAAACGGCTTTAAAAGTTCAAAGTCCAGCCATAAAGCCATTAACTAGAAGCTGGCAGGCTGCCCGGAGCAGTAGCACATACCTCATCAATCACCTTTACGCGCAGAGCAGATTCCGATCTGATCTGTCCCTCTGCATTCCGATCCTTTGCCGGCACTCCGATTCGACGTCTGGAGCCCATAACCACGTGTTGGTGTAAAGCAGAGTCCCGTGCCCAGCGGAAGGATGAGGAGTACGTGCTGCATACTCTATATTGCTTTATTTATAGTTCAAAGCTGGTATATTACAGAAAGACATCTTGCCTCTGCCGGAGCAGAAAATGCATCCTCTCTCCTCGACAGCTCGGAGAGAACCACACAGTGAAACTGCAAAGAACAGTGAAAAACAGGAAACCAGTGTACGTCACATCCAGTCTCCCTTTCCCGTGAGAAACTCCAACAGTACAGACTGTGGAATGTAAACACCTGTCTCGTGACAAGCCCTTTCGCTGCACAGTGAAGGAAAGCAGAAACCAACAGTGCTCACGTTGTTTTTAGGCTGGTGTGAGGTTCTTGGAGAAATCTGTTGGAGCAGTGCTTTCGGGGCTGGGATAGATACCCAAGGTTCTATATCACTTCTCTGGATGAAGGCCAAGAACTTAAAAAAAAATGCCTCTAATTTGTCTCCCTACAGTAAATAGCCAGAAAACCTGCTTGCCCTCAGTATCTGGTAATCAAAGTCAAGTGCCCTTGAAAGAAGGGTTTGAAACATGGACCTCCAGTTGTTGGACTACAATTCCCATAACCCTGACTGTTGGTTGTGTGCCCCAGAGCTGATGGGAGTTGCAGTCCAGCAACCCTTTAAGGGACAGAGGTTCCTCTGCCCTGCTCTAAAATATAGCCTATTTTTAGTCATCGCAGCCACTACCATACATTTGTCGTGGACATTTCAAAAATCAAGTATGTAAATAGCCCCCACAACATTCTCTAGTAAAAGTAAGTTACCGATGACAGAAACATTGTTTATCCATAATGGCGTCCTTTGAGGCTTGCTGTGCAAGTGTCTCTAACATTCTAGAGAGATCATGGGTAGTTAGTCCAGCCTGGACCTTGGAAGAACCGTAGAGTCCCCTTCTAGGCCATTGAAGGTAGTGGTTGCTTCTCTGAACATCAGAATCCAGGATGGAGAACCAGGAGCCCTCCAGATAATGTTGGACATCAGCTTTGTCAGCTCCAGCCAGCATTGGTTGGGGTGATGGGAATTTCCCATACTTGTTCTAAATGTAGGCTGCATTTTACATGAAAGAGGAAGATGATTCAACATTTTACATAATAAAAAAAAAGACCAGTCCAAGTTGGGTTCTTTGTTGGTTATGTGTGTTAGATGGGGGAAGGAAAGAGGCCCTTGTTGCGCATCTTGTAGTCATTTGCTGTGTTTCACAGGGATGGTAGAGATGATTCCTAACGCAGAGACTCTACGAAAGATCCAGGTGGAGCATGGGGTGACAGGCTCCTTCAAGGATCGTCCCCTGGCAGACTGGCTGCAGAAGCACAACCCCAAAGAGGATGAATATGAGAAGGTGAAGAGAGCGAGAATAACATAATTTGGTTTAGGTTAGAAAGCCAGGCAGCTCCAAGTCACGATCAAAGATTGTGCTAATGTCAGACCCATTGTGCCCTCTTTTGAGTCTAGTGGTTTTAATAATTCCATCGCAGTTTGACCTCACTCCCAAAGGCACACTCCTCCGTTGTCTCCCGAGACAGACAAATGCCAACCCCAATAAGCAAAAGTGGAAGCCTTGCGATGTGGACTTGTGGGTGTGCACCTGACTTTTCTTGCAGGCCCACATTTTTCTTTGTTTCCGTAGCAAAATGTCGGATTGGAGAGATACCACCTTGGTTTTATTTATTTAAAATTTGAGCAGTTCTAAACATCTGGACACAAGGGAGATCACAAACACAACACCAGGAAGCTAAACTACATTGTAAATAAGCAGCAAGCAAGCGTTTTAATCTTAAAATCTTGTGTAAACATAAATGTTTTCACTTGTTATTCAGAATTACATGAAATATGGCTTGGGGGCAGGGAGCTTTTCCATTGTACTGAAAAAGCCTGGCTACAAGTTCCGAGTTCAAACAAAGACAGCACAGTAGAAGGCTATCTGTAAATACAACTAAGGGTAGGTTACCTCAAGGTAGATTTAGGTGCCTTTCTGACATTTCAAGTTCCCAGGGTGTTCTAGAAAACAGGCTAGTATATATTAAATATATAGGCAGGTAATATAATATTCCCAGAGGACCCTAAATTCAGGAACCTTTTTCAAAAAAATTCCCTCCAGCATTTTGTCTGGCCTTACTGCTTTCCTGTGCAGCTCTTCACATTACTGTGTTAATAACATCCATCTTCATCTGCCAGGCAGTGGAGAACTTCATCTACTCATGCGCTGGCTGCTGTGTAGCTACATACGTGCTGGGAATCTGTGATCGGCACAACGACAACATCATGCTCAAGACCACAGGGCACATGTTCCACATTGACTTTGGCAGATTTCTGGGCCATGCTCAGATGTTTGGCAACATCAAAAGGTGAGCACTCTAAGCAAACTAGAGAGGCTGTGTGTGTGGCCGACTGAATTATCGGTGCTGGGGGCGGGCATGTATGTTATTTTTGGAAACGAAGGTGGAGCTAAACTAGTACACAGATTAGCTTCACCATGAAACTAATGGTTTCAGTTTTTCACATTAGTTTCACATAGAAATGTTTTTGCAAATTGATATATTTCTGGAACTCCTGTGTGCAAGGCTGGAAGGAAAGGATGAACTGAGAGATCTGTGAAAGACATGCCAGCTCTGAACAAAGGAAACATTAATTCAGTGGCTACAACAATCATATGGGGCTTCTTTGTCCAATCTGCCTGAAAACTGTCAGTTCTGATGCCCTGGAGTGGTAGTAGAAGCCTTGCACATTCCACAACGTTTGCATGGAAAACAGAATTTGTTACAAGGAGGAGAAATGCAGCTGTTTCTCTCATTTAAACCAATGGGAAGCTTTATAGGATGTGTCTTTTTAAAAATTGCTTGTAAAATGTAGTTCCTGTTTAGTGCAGCACCTGAAAATGCCATGCCATTTGGATGGAAAATGTCATGGTTATTATCAGCAAGCTGGGTCTCCGCTGCAAAAACTCAAATGAAACTCAAATGAATGTGAAACAAAATTGATGCAGACGAAAAGAAAGTGAAACTAAATAGGGTAGATTTTAAATACTTAAGACATTTCAAGTGCACGCTTCTTGCCGGTGTTCAGGAATGAGCCCTGGAGTTGCAGGACTCGCAGAAGTGGGCTAAGCTGAGGAAGGCACATGTCTTGACAGTTAACTCCTTATTGACAAGAAAAGCACGTACAGCAAGCTTCCACAGTGTTCCAGATACACACACAGACACACGCTTCTATCCTCTAGGCAGCTGCCCACAGGTCTAGGCCCTGTGGAGCAGTTACAGCAACAGGGAGACCCTGCCTGCCCCTGATGGCTTATATACCCTCTCGTGACAGGTTGCTTGCCCACAATCTGAGACTTCTCTTGTCAGGAAATTGTCACTGCTCTTCCCTTTTCAAGACCCTCCTGGGTCTAGGAGGCAGTGGGGCAGGGAAAGGTGGGGAGTCTCTTGACCTGTTTGTCAGCTGAACAGCCTCTTCCGCCTTTACCCTGCGTATATTCCTCCATCTTGGACTGCCCTGACTCTCCCTCCTCTCCTGGCTCCTGCCTTGGGGGCAGCGTGAAACCCCATAAATCACTGGGTCACTCTCCTGGTCCCTTGCCTCCACCCCACAACCTTTGGAGTCTTTCCAGCTTCCTGTTTGCATGGATAAACTAAAGTCTACATTGTAGCAGGGACGCAGGTGGCGCTGTGGGTTAAACCACAGAGCCTAGGACTTGCCGATCAGAAGGTCAGTGGTTCGAATCCCCATGATGGGGTGAGCTCCCATTGCTCGGTCCCTGCTCCTGCCAACCTAGCAGTTCGAAAGCACGTCAAACTGCAAGTAGATAAATAGGTACCGCTCCGGTGGGAAGGTAAACGGCGTTTCCGTGCGCTGCTCTGGTTCACCAGAAGCGGCTTAGTCATGCTGGCCACATGACCCGGAAGCTGTACGCCGGCTCCCTCGGCCAGTAAAGCAAGATGAGCGCCGCAACCCCAGGGTTGGCCACGACTGGACCTAATGGTCAGGGGTCCCTTTACCTTTACATTGTAGCAGTAGCTAATTAATAATGATGTGGGTGGGTGTAGATTGTTGGTACCCAATACAAGTTTTTACCTGCCACGCATATTTTGCGGGGCACCATATTACGTGCTTTATCCAGAAAGGGAATCTGACAATTTGGCTTACAAATGTTGGACTTGAAGTTCCAAACTTTTTACTACGGATTTTTTTTAATAAAAAAGCTTCTATTTCCCACCCCCTAAGCATCATGTTTTCCAGCCTGTTTCAAAACGTTCTTGGTGGAGCAGGTTGCCGGTGGAATGTGGCTTATCGGTTTCCACATTGTGATGCCCTTGTTCAGTGAATGCAGAACCCATTATCTGTAAAATGCATTCAAGCTTTTTCCTGCTGCTGATACCAAGCATGTGGCTTTTGTTCCAAAGTCCTTCAGAATAATGTGTTGTGTGTGGATCTAATGGGATCTAGCACTCTCTGGGTCAACTAAGGTATGTTCGGAAATGAAAGCATAGTGACTCTTTTGTCCCTGGGATTAGCCACATCACTGTGGCATTTGCACATTTCTTCCGTACAGGGACCGAGCTCCATTTGTCTTCACATCAGACATGGCTTATGTCATCAACGGCGGTGACAAGCCCTCCAGCCGCTTCCATGACTTTGTAGATCTCTGCTGCCAGGCCTACAACCTGATCCGCAAACATACCCATCTCTTCCTCAACCTTTTGGGCCTGGTGAGACACCCAGTTTCTACTTTCCTGCTGCCTCTGCTCTCCAGTAGCAGTGCATTTATCCAGACAGTGCATCATGGTTATTACTGAAAAGACTTCCAGCTGTTCTTTGCAGGAGCTTGGAGGGTTTGCATAGGGAGACAGAGACAATGGTGACCATCAGACTTGACCTGAGGAGTAAAGAACTGCCTTCTCTCTTCCAAGCCTGCAGTTCCCCCATGACAGAACCTTCTCAGTCTATATCCAGATCTTCTTTATATCCAAACCAGGGAAAGGGTATAAGTTTTTTTGTGGTTTTTTTAATTATTATTTGATATCCTGCTTTATCACTACCCTAAGGAGTCTCAAAGCGGCTAACAATCTCCTTTCCCTTCCTCCCCCACAACAAACACTCTGTGAGGTGAGTGGGCTGAGAGACTTCAGAGAAGTGTGACTAGCCCAAGGTCACCCAGCAATTATTTGTCTGTGTAAGAGCAAAAATCACTTGGCAGATGCAGCACACAAACGTGTAGGCTCTCAGATAGGAACTTGTTGCTGCTTCGCTGCTCCTTGGATGAGGAGCCGCATGTTCCTACAGTCAAGCTGAGCTAAGGTTTGACTTAGTATGTTGTATGAACCAGACCAATGTCTGGATTCACACATAAAAGTAAACCCATAGTTAAGATCAGCAAGCTAACAACAAACTCCGGGTTACTTTCACTAACAAGTCATTGTTTATTTGCCGCTCTCACTGCCATGCATGTGTGGTTTTGTCAGCTTATAGTGAAATAAAAAATGTCCACTTTTTTACATCAAAAGCAACCAGTTTTAGTAAAAAATAAGTAATAATTGTAGTGCTTCCCCCTCCCCTCCAACTGCTGGGATAAGGACACAAGCTGAGACTTGGTGAGTATCAACCACAAAAGCCTGTCTCCAACTATTGCATTGCCAAAGGCCCCTTTTTGTTCCTGAGACTGCAGCAGACATTGCTTGCAGATATGCACCATAACTAAAGGGTTGGGAACTTGCCTTTCCTGTGTTTTGAAAGAAAGCTGAGGGTTTCTGGAAATCCAGTTAGCATGTGGCACATTCCAGAATCCATGAAATTCCCACAGCTCATGTCTGGAGTGTTTGCATTTCTTTCTTTTCTGGTACTAATCCGTGGCCTCTTTGGTGCCCAGATGCTGTCCTGTGGGATCCCTGAGCTTTCTGACCTTGAAGACCTAAAGTATGTTTATGATGCATTGAGACCACAGGACTCTGAAGCAGATGCCACCACCTATTTCACCAGGTAAGGGGAATCCTGATGGCTGGGAGAGGTGGAAAAGGAAAGCCAGGAGCCACGTTGGTGTGCCAAGCTACTCCCACAGAGAAATCTTGGTTCTCAGGGTCCTCTTTGAAAGGTCTGTTGTAGTCTTTGAAAATGCAGGGGGTAGACCAGTCAGTTCTATGTCAACCCACAAACCAGATGTTTTATCCTTTTGTGCAGGTTGATAGAGTCCAGCCTTGGCAGTGTTGCCACGAAGCTCAACTTCTTCATTCACAATCTGGCGCAGATGAAGTTTGCAGGCTCTGACTCCCGACCGGTGCTCTCCTTTGCCCCCCGTGTCCACACAATCAAGACGTCCAGCCGGATCCTTGATGTCTTCCTCTGCCGTCACGAAAAAGTCTTCAATCCCAGCAAGGGCTTTGTGAGTCCCTTCCACAGGCATTTTGGTGCAGCAGGTGGTCAGTGTGGTGGAGGCAGTGTCAGGGAAGCTAGCATGCGGCTGCGCTAAAGCGCAAGAGCAAGTTGTGCTGCATGCTGGAGCAGCATCTCCAGAAGGTGCTGCTGAACCATAAGGACTGCTTCCCTCTCTGCCTTGCAGATATACATCGTGAAGGTGAAGCGAGAGAACCCCTCCGAAGTCACCTACATCCAGCGTACCTTTGAAGAGTTCCAGGAACTGCACAACAAGATGCGCCTCATCTTCCCCTCTTCGCATCTCCCCAGGTTAGCCCCATTTGGTTTACAAACTCCTTTTTTCTTTTGACACTCTACTCTGTAAGAATTGCAAACCTTTGAAGACTAGTTTTGTATTCATTTCCCGGAAACTTGCTTATGCTGCCCTGTGCACTAAAATTACGTTTTCTCCTTGGGAAGTGTCAGCGCTTGGATTTTGTTCACATATAGGATCTAACCGAAAGAATCTCTGATCCCTTTCACCAGATTGGCTAGTGATCCAGTGGGTATGATACAGCAGACTATCCTCTCAAAATTCTATGTGTGCTTAATTGAATTGTTTGTGTGTGAATGGTCCTCATCACATGACGTTAACCAAAAGTTTCATTTCTGAAACACTCCAAATGGATCCGTCTGACAGCCGCTATCTGTGTGACATGAATAAATCCTTTAAAAAATAATTTGTGTGTACTGTTGCAGCCGGGAGCAAAGAAGTTTGGCAGACCTTCTGTTTCAGTTGAGATTTTGCTTTTCAGTGATAGATGGGGCCCAACACCTAACTGTTTCTTTACCCTCCCACCCCACCCCCAAATTGTCCAGCTTTCCTAGCAGGTTTGTGATTGGACGCTCACGAGGAGAAGCAGTGGCTGAGAGGAGGAGAGAAGAACTGAATGGCTACATCTGGCATCTGATCCATGCAGCTCCTGAGGTGGCCGAGGTAAATAGGCAGGAGCGAGGTAGTATTAGCCAAGACCTTTAGGATGAACTGCAGGCAGACACAGCAGTGTAGAATAGTTTAAGTGCTTCTGCAGAAGCCTGACCCTGGAATTATTCCACAAACACTTTTTGCTATTCCTCTTTAGCAAGCTTTGTTAATACATATGGAAGCTTTGCATAGCATTCCCTGTCCTTGCCTACATGTAAATCAAGGGACCTTCTTTAACCACTGCTGGAGAACACTCAGCACATAGGAGGCAAGAGAACTTGCTTGGTAAGTATAGTATCAAAAACTGAGCTGAGACTAAGGAATATTAAGGGTGTGTTCTGATGGCCTCTGGGTGTGCAAGCTGGATTGCCTGTTACGTATTCTGGTTCTCCCATCTATATAACTGAGGTTATTTGCTACCGTAGTATTAAGATTCATAACCAGGCATAGGCAAACTTGGCTCTCCAGAAGTTTTTTTGGCCTACAACTCCCATGATCCCTAGCTAACAGGACCAGTGGCCAGGGATGATGGGAATTGTAGTCCCAAATCATCTGGAGGGCTGAGTTTGGCTATGCCTGCTCATAACCATTCTAAGCAAGTAAGTAACTGCAGGAGTCTTCATAGCTGAAGGCCTAATAAATAATTAGCTTATTTATGAAAGTATTATGTGAATTGAAGCAACATGCCCAACCAAGCTTCTCTTTTCATGTCAGAGGGCATATCAGAAGTAGGTGACTTGCTATTGGAGTAAAACTGTGGCCTGATGGTGTGCTTCTCTTGCAGTGTGACCTGGTGTACACATTTTTTCACCCCCTCCCAAGGGACGAAGTTGCTGCAGGCACCAATCCAGCACCCAAACTGCCTGGTAAATATCTGGAGGACGCAAACAGCAGGACTTACCTGCTTCAACACTCTGGCTCTGCATGCTGGCCAGTACTGAGGGAGGGCAATGCTCTCATGCAGCTGCCTTGGAGTGAAGTCGATCATAGCCACAGCTTCATTCTTTGGCACATAAAATGAAAGTGCTGGGCACATGGAAGGGATCTGCCTATTCAATGGAGGCTGGAAGTTTGTGTCAGGACCTGACAGGAGGTTCAGAATGGTGCTGTAAGACTGGTCATTAAACTATGTTATGCAGGTATAGGGTATTGTAGAGGAATTATGTTGTATTCGTTAAAACAGGATAAAGCGTAACAGAGGCATAATACAGTACTGATTTTGATTTTATTGTTTTTGTTTGTATTTTTTATTTTAAAAAAATAATACTAAAGTTTTCCAGAGGATGGCCTTTATGGAAAGGCGCTAACGCCTGTTTACTGTGGGTGCAGTGCCTTTCCCCTCTTTTTTTGCCAGTAGACATGGTAGTTTTCCATGCCAACACTGCTCCCTGTTCTTTATTCTTAGATGCATCATGGTCCCAACCTGTTGGAAAACTGGGTGGGGAGGTGAAGCTGTCTGTTTCCTACAAAAACAACAAGCTGTTTATCATGGTCATGCATATCCGAGGCCTGGTAAGTGCTGAACTGTAGCTATGTCCCAGTGGCGGCCACTGGCCAAACTTTTCAAATCTCTGCAGCCTGATGTGGCGCAAACAACTGACGACTGGGCTTGACTTTCTCTTTTCCAGCAGCCTATTCAAGACGGCAGTGATCCCGACCCGTATGTTAAGATCTACCTTCTGCCCGATCCCCAGAAAACCACCAAGAGGAAAACGAAAGTCGCTAGAAAAACATGCAACCCTACTTACAACGAAATGGTATGCTGCCGCACACCTTGTCTTAACAGGCTAAAGCAGGGGTGGGTGGGAAACCTCCGACCCACAGTTGCTATCAAACAATTAATTAGCTATTAAAGCCAACATTCTTTCGTGAAAGATCCAGCTGCTAAAAAAAAAAAAAAAAAGTCCAGACATATTTTGAGTTCATGTATTGCAGGGTAGGGGACAGTATGAACTGATTCTCCATTATACATCTCTTGGAAATCTATTAATGTTACTATGGAGTGGCAGCATGGACAATTTATTACAATATAGCCTTACAATATAAGGCGGAGGTGGGGTGGTTGGCTCAAGAGCCACCTTCACCCTTGGCTAGTCCTCTGGCGGAAGCATGCCAGCGGGGGATGTGGACGTCCCATACACTCAGTTGTGTGAATTCACACATGCAGGTTAGGGAGGGGGTGGTTTGCTTCCCCATCAGGCTATTGGGGTGGGCAGAGAGATTTAAACCACCTACATAAGCACTGTCTACTTTTAATCCCCCCCCTTTGTCATTGCTGTCAAATTTGGGGGTCTTGGGGAGGTCAGAATTTGGGGCCAGGCCATGCTCCTGGGCCAGGGGTTAAACACCCCTCCTTTATTTAAAAGTTCCTATCGAGACTGCTGTCATAGTTGAATTAGTTCAAGTTTAAAGACTCGGTATTATACGTGTGTGTGTGTGTGTGTGCATTGATCATTTTCCGTTTTCTCTGACAGATTTCTACCCTAGGTCTAAATGCTAGAAAAAATATATGTACTAGATGGGTGTCTGCATTAAGATGCATACGTATTACTGAAGAATACACAGAATTACTATAGTCTGGCCTTCTGCTATAGAGGCCAGAGACTGCTGTTCTAGGCAACTACTTCTTCCACCTTTCTAAGGAGAGTGTGAGTGAGTTTTAGCTCATGTCCTGAAATTTCCTGTATCTTTCAGCTTGTCTATGATGGGATTCCTAAAGGAGACCTCCACCAGCGGGAACTGCATCTGAGTGTCCTGAGTGAAGAGGGCTTTTGGGAGAACATCCTCCTTGGGGAGGTCATTATCCGACTGCGGGACCTAGATCTGACACAGGAGAAGATGGGCTGGTTTGAACTGGGCTCTAGGAGTCACGGGACCATGTGAAGAGGAGCAGCAAGGCAGTCGCTGTGTCTTTGGAACCACTCTGGCCCCATGGGAGTCCCTGGGAATTGGTGCATGTTCCAGGAGTTCTATCCTGGTGTATCTGACAGGATTTAGTTTCCTGCAAATAAGGACGGACAGATGTTAAGTTTCTCTGCAAATGAAGGGTTAATTTCCTGTGGAGAGTGAGCATTTTGGGGTGGAGTCATGATAGGAAATTCATTTATGACTTAAAATGGCTGCCATAGACTTTCCTTTTTATACATTTTCCTTGTGTCAAGGGAGCAATGACTTATGGGGGGCGAAATAATAGGGGGCACCCCCCTCTTTGGGATATTTTAATTTTTTAAGAAAAACAAATGATTTCAGTCCAGATGGGACATAGGAGCACATGCTGAGAAGGAGCTTTTCTAGGCAGGATATATCATCAGTGAGATTCTTGCTGGACTTTCTCAAAAGTTGTTGTTGTTGTTTGTTGTTGTTTTAAGTAAATAAAGGAATGTGTGCATAAGAACTTGAGGGGCGGGAGGGGAAATGTTTGGGTTGGATATAAATGGTAGATGAAATCCTTATCTCTGGGACAGGAGCTGGTGTGGTCCAACTCAAGCCATCTTGGAGAATTTGCTTCCAAAGGAGAGCTATGTAATGTATATATGTGAAGAGCTTACAGTTCTCGATTTCCTGCTTGGAGATGTAACCTAAAAGGCATGCTCTCTTGGACTAACATTTAGACTTGTCCTAGGAGGCAAAAGGCAACCATATTCCTCTTGATTCTAAACACCTACTAAGGCCTTGGGCATAGCAGCTATCTGAAGAGCTGTGTGATATTTCCACCTTACTTCCTTGCTTGCCTTTTGCACATGTTCATCTGGCCAGTCTGAGGAGCTGGAACTGATTAGATACGGTTACGCTGCATCTTGGAATCAGAGCGATTTTCCTGGTCTCGCTTCTCCCAAGCTGTGACTTTGGAAAATGGGTTCCTTGAATTAGCCAAACCGCCTCTGTGACAGTTTCCTGTGTATGGCCATTTCTTTCCTGTTGCCTAAAACCAGATTACATTAGCAAATACCTAAAGCCTTTTCAGGATTCTCATCTTCAGTGTCACCGCAGGCTCTTCTTCTGAGCTAGTGGGTGGGAGGCAAAGGAAAAGGCAAACTAGCTGGAAACCTGGTTAAAAGGTTACCTGGCATTTTGCCGCTGAGCACCCATGACTTACTGAAACCTTTGCATACACCCACTGCCCTGCAATGCCTTTTGTAGGCCAGGTGGCCATGAGCTGTTCCTTTGTAGCCTTTTCTTTGAGAAGTAAACCTGTGTAAAATAAAAAACTAAAAATAGAAAGGTGGGGAGGGGGAATAGCCAGCTTTTAAACCTTTGTCTCTTTGCAATTATATAAAGACCAGAATGTGTGTTGTTGGATCGTTTTTCTCTCTCTTTTAAGAATCATTCTTAAAGTATGTCCTGTTTGCGGGTTGCCATTTGCCTCCTTGAATGAAAAAGAGAGCACTTCAAAATGGAGGGGAAGATGTTTCCTATCTCAGACAGGAGCCTTGCACCATTGGGCCTAGCCCTCTCCCTCAGAGCTCGTCATCTTCTAGCTAGCCTGAGCTGTTTGTTTACAGCAGGGACTCCTGTACAGATGAAACGTTTCTCAGGTTCAAGAACAAAAAAATAAAATATGGTATCTGAGAGGTATAAGCCAAGTTTTTTTAACCGTTCTCTAGATCAAGGTTTGCCTGAAACTTGGATTTTTTAAAATCTGCATAAGAGGTGCAGGTGGATTTCAGAGTCAGATAAGCAGCTACGTGAGACAACCTTGGCCTGCTCATGTCACCTGTTCTGTTGGAAATGAGGGAGAGATGGCATCTCGCAGATCCCTGGATCCTTCCTCTGTTGTAAAATGGTGGCATTATTTGAAGTTAACAAATAAAAGGAAATGGAATTCAGTAGAAACTGTGTCGTCTCATCCTTTGCCGCATTAGGGTTATAAAGCAAGCACAAACTTTTTCAAAGAGATGCAGCATCATTAACCCCAAATAGATTTTGGTAAGTTGTTGCTTGGCCAAAGAGGACACAGGATGTTGCATTTGGGCTGGCTAGAAAAGTAATGACTGAGCAGCTCAGAGAAGTCATTTGACCTTTAATTTCCCATACTCAATGTTTGAAAACAAGTTACCATTAGCCACAGCCAGTATGGCCACTGGTCAAGGGCAATGGGAGTTGTAGTACTATAATCTGGAAGGCACAAGGTCGATCAGTCCTTCCCACTTGGTCTACCTTTGTCCATAAGCCTGTTCACAGTGCATTTTGGGGGAGAGGAGATAATATGCAGGATCTGCAAGAACAGGTTGGCTTCTGCATCTTTGCTCTCTTAATTCAACCATATGTTTGGATTCAAAACATTTGCAGGCTTTAACACCAACTTGAAATGTGGTCCCATTGTCCGGCTTAACCGGGAAACAGTATCTCTGTGTGCCTAAATATTGACAGGATGACCAATGACTCTTCTTCCCCTGGACAGTGAGAAGCCTGTCAATAGAGGGCCAAACTATCACCATTTGTACATGTTGCAGTATCAAATCAAATTATGTAGGAGGCTTAAAGAGAAGGGAGACTATAAAGCCTAACAGGAATAGATAGATTTTTAGGCTGATTGCATCCTATGTAATATAGTGCAGAGGAAAGACACTGGAAGCATCCATAGTTGCCACTGCTTGCACATTCATGCCACGAGGCTGTTGCAATAGCCGTGCAATCTGTTACCGATGCTATGTTACTAGGTAGTTAAGATAATACATACTTTAATAGGCTTGGGTATTGAATCATTCATAATCACCGCGGCACATTCCTACAATGCCTAATTAGCAAAAGTGCATACATTTAAAGTACTGTGGAGTGTGTATGATGCCACAGTGACATGTCAGCCATAGGTACAAAGGGCAGGTGCTGAGAAGTGACTGAGCTTGATGGAATCTGGAGAAACATAGCCATAGACAATGGCTGTTAGAAGCCATGCCACTTGGATGTAGTTAGAAAATAATACACAGAGATTTCATGCTGGGAAGAGGAGGCCAGAATCACTTGAGTTTCCAGATTCCAAATGGAAGGAAACCTGTGCTGAGAGTGGTTGTGTAGAGAGGATGCAGTTTCATCTATTCCCCCTTCTGTGCAGTTATTAAAGGCAGGCCACCACAAAATGCCCCTCAATGCAATTTTTATTCACACATTTATCCAAATGTTCATGCTGTCTTTTTGTAGCCTGGGCAGCTTATGAAGAAAAGGTTAATGGAAAAGCCCCAGAATCGCATCTCCAAAAGCAAACATTCATGGGTAAGCAGAAAATAAAAAGATTGCCCAGCATTATTCAAAAGCCAGTTGCTCTCCACAATAAAAATAAATTGCATTCTTTTTTTGAATTAGATAAGAATTAGATTGGAAGAGCTCTGCATCTTCTATTGGGAGGATATTCCAGAGTTTGAGGGAAACTGCTAAAGGTCCTGCTTTGACCAGTGTATGTTCTTTTGATGAAAGTACTTGAGGTAGGACCTCACCCAGTGACTGCGATTGTCATAGAGACGTAGGCAGCTGTCTTATACCAGGTCAGACCTTGGGTGCATCTCGTTCAATATTGTCTATGTTGACTGAAATAGGGAGGGTCCTAAAAACAGACATCTCATTGCTCACGGCCAGGTTTAGAAGAGTACATCTTCTACATTTGTCAGAAACTTAGGTTGCCAAGCACACTTCTGTGGGGAGAGAGTTCCACAATCTAGAGGCTACCGCAGAGAATACCCTCTCCTGGGCCCACCCCTCCTCTACTGAGGGCAGCAGAACTACCAATAGGGCAAGGGTCTGTAAGTGAGGAGGTGGTCTTTCAAATATCAAGGAACCTAAGTCCTTTAGGGCTTTAAACACTAATGTGAACGCCTTGAACTGGGCCCAGAAACAAACTGGCAACCAATGCAGCTGTTTTAAAACAGGTTGTGTGAGATCTAAACAGAACCCCAGCCTGTAATACGGCTGCTGCATTTCGGAGCAATTTAAGTTTCCGAGTCATCTTCAAGGGCAGCCCCACTTAGAGTCCATTGATACAATGCAGTTTGGAAGTTAACAGAGCATGACATACAGTGGCCATATCTGTCCAGAGGGATCTGTAGCTAGAAAAAGTAGCCACTGAGGAAACCTGAGTCTCCAGTGACAGTGCTTGACTGCAGAACATTCCCAAGCCATTGATCATTTGTACATAGGTACTAAATTGGTTCACATTAAGAAGAGTGAGATTATCATTGCCTAACATTAAAGATTGGGGCTGAAAGTAACTTTCCAATAGCTATGTGGCAATGGAAACTCAGGCTGCTTCAGAATAGCCCAGGTGCTAATTCAGTGCCATAAGAACATAAGAAAAATTCTGCTGGATTGGACTGAAGTTCTATCTAATGCAGCCTTCTGTCTCCCACAGTGGCTAACCAGATGCCAATAGGAAGTCCGCACATCAGACACATGCTTACAGTTCTTATTACCCTCCTTTGAGGTAGGTTGAGTAGCAAATAAATCATAGAACTGTAAAGTTGGAAAGGACCTGCCAGTCCAACCCCTTGCAATGCAGGAATCAAAATACAGATAAATTTGGCACAATTTAGATGTCACTTTATTTCTGAGTGAACTGGAGGCAGCCATCCGGTGTGAGGATAAGCAGAACTTGAACCCATGGCCTTCAGAGATGCTGCCAAGCTCCTTAACCACTGGACCACTTTGCCATGGAGAAAAATATTTTCTTACCTAAACCCTAGATTGTAAAAACAACAATCCTGGATTATCTCCGAGCCTCTCCAGTAGCATCCTTTTTTTGGGAAAGGCTTCTGTTCGTTTGGTGGTTGGGTGCATGTTAGGCAGAAAATCAACTGGCGTAGCATTTCTTGGCATGAAGATGGAATAATTGGGAATGTTGCACCTGTTGAATTTTTGCCTGTTGTAGATTCCCTGGCAGAAAATAAAGAACAGAGGCAACTGTAATGTGGTTTCATGTAAATTAGCTCCCTAAAGAAGACATGTGTGTTAAAACCATGTAAATAACAGAATCAAATTTTGTCATTCTGTTCCTTCAAATACTTCAGATCAGAGTCACAAGTTAGTAGGCAATGGCTATGTGTTGTTACCATATGATCTGTATAAGCAGGATGCCTGTAACATTAAAATAATTGGATTACTAATGACCTACGTGAGTTTCAAATATGCACACATGCCACAACTTTTTAAAATTGGTTGATCATGTCATATGACAATATGACTTATGCTTAAAAGAAAGCACTTGGCTGATCACTTCATCTGGGATAACTCAGTATAGTGTGGTTAACAAAATGTTTTGCAGCAACCATGAGGAAATATGGTTCAAGACAGTTTTTATAATGCAACTTATGCATGTCAACTCAAAAGGAAGGCCCACTGAATTCAATAGGACTTAACTTCTGACTAGACAATTTTAGGATTGCACTGTTACCAAATCTCCAGTGCATGATAAATTTTAATATTTATATTTGAAGCACAGTCGGAATGATACATCTGCCTGGATTATTTTATGTGTTATTTTTAAAGAAGGGGAGGCAGAAGCATGGCATCTCCTCTGGGATCTGCTGCTGAAGCAATTGCCTCGTGGTAAAACCAGCCCTGCAAGGGTGCACTGTTGGTTAGCATTGCATGGATATATGTGCAAGTATATCTTCCCAATGGAAACACAATCCTGGGTAAGCGCCTGGAACCCCTGGAATCTTGCACTGCTTGTGGAGTTTGGGTTTGCGTGTAACAGAATCTTATGAATTAACTTCCAAGGGAGGGCAGAGCTGGAGGTAAAAGTAGGTGTGGCGAGAGGTAAAAAGCAGGCAAAGCAATGGATGTGACCCTTATCTTTATACAGTACGCTGCAGCCCATATATACAAATATCAGAGATTTCTACACACACACCTTCATTGAAGCAAGGAAGGGATACTATGTATGGCAGGGGCTGGCAAGGTTCTACCTGCCTGGGCCGGTCAAGTCCCGCAGAGATCTCTCCGTGGGCTAGATCGTGCATGGTGTGATTTCCGGCGTCTGGGCATGCGCAGATGTGATTTTTGGTGCTGCGGGAGCGAGTCCCCACGCTGCGCTGGTTTAGCGCAGCGCACAGGGACTTGCCAAGCAGGCCGCTCAGTTCGTGGGCAGCTCGTGGGCCGGTTAAACTGCCCCCGTGGGCCGCTTGCAGCCCATGGGCCACAGGTTGCCAACCCCTGATGTATGGTTATCTGGAAGTATGGCTGATTTGCACAGATGACAGCCTTAAAAGGCTTGTACCCTTCTTAAACCAATGACCTGCTGCAGCTGACCTCAACACACCTCCCGAGAACCAGTTACAGTGGTACCTCGGGTTAAGTACTTAATTCGTTCCAGAGGTCTGTTCTTAACCTGAAACTGTTCTTAACCTGAAGCACCACTTAAGCTAATGGGGCCTCCCGCTGCCGCCGCACTGCCGGAGCACAATTTCTGTTCTCATCCTGAAGCAAGATTCTTAACCTGAAGCACTATTTCTGTGTTAGCGGAGTCTGTAACCTGAAGCGTATGTAACCTGAAGTGTATATAACCCAAGGTACCACTGTATTAGCAATAGGCACCAAGGGAAGGCTGTTTCCTTCACCTCCTGCTTGTGAGCTTCTCAAATGCAAACTAGTGGAAACAGAATGCTGTATTGGAAGGACCTTTAGTCTGATGCATCATAGTAATTTTTATGCTCCTTAATGCTGCGACAAGGTCATCTTATCTCTATTAGCTCCTCTTGCGTAACTGACCTTTGGCGGGGTAGCTACCCGTATGTTATCATTGTTTGCAGAGCAGCCTTATCTTTGTGCTGCCCTTAAGTGTACTTTTCTACATTTTTTGGTTTTGCTTTGACTTCTTTCTGCTGTTCATACAGAGATGGGGAAAGCCTGGTTAGACACAGGCAGTTCACCACCAGTTATTAGCAGACAGTGCTTCCTAAGTAAGATGTTTCGAAATCTAGAGAACAAGTTGGACATAAACCAAGCATTACAGTTAGGGTACCTTGGACCTTGTGTGTGGATGGTACCGTTTTTGGCTACAGAAGGCACCATCCTTGGATAATAAGTTTGCTATGAACATATGAGGCAGCCTCCCACGAGCTGTTGCCCTCCAGATATTTTGGACTACAACTTCCATCAGCCCTGGGCCAGCATGGCTGACGTTTAGGGAATGCCATGGTTTGTACAGAAACATCTGGAGGGCCCCGGGTTGGAGAAGGCTGCTAAATAGTATGATTTCTGAGGTAAGTAACTGGGAGGTGTTTCCTCTTCCTTCCTTTGCTAATAAGCTGCACCTCAACAGCTATGAAGCGCCTTTAAAAAACAAAAACGTTGCTGAATGTTTCTATAACCCTCTAATAATTTAGAGGAGCAACCGGCTGATGCAATCGCCCGCCTGCGCCAGCGATCAGTCACCAAAGTGCGCTCGCTCGCTCTCCCTCGAGGGAGGCGGAGCCACGAGTGTGCAGGGAACCAATCGCGAGCCGTCGACTGCTATCTAGCTTCCCCGGATGTTACTCGAAGCGCCACCCGGCCTTTAATCTTCCCTTTTCAGGTGACAAGAAGAGACGCTTCTTTCGCTTCCGCGCTTGCTGAGGGGGGCTGCGTGTGCGCCTGCGCTCGGTAAAGGAGGGGTCTTCCCGCCCAGCGGCCTAACTGCTGCGCCCTTCTCTCGCCGCCATCTTGTTCCTCTCGCTTCAAACCAGCGACTCCCATCCAGCCTTGAAGCGGCCGCCGGTCTCCGCCGGGAAGGAACATGGCGTGGCCCAAGCCGGGGAAAAGCCACCGCCGCGTCCTCAGCCATCCCCGAAAGGCCTCCGGAGCGGCCGGGCGACGCGGGGCTGAAGCGCTGAGGTGAGCAGCCCTGGGCGCACCCGTCACCATGGAGCCGAGCAGGGAGCAGGAGCAGGCGGTCCCTCGCCTCGGCGCTCGCCCGACCGCCTTGCCGCCGCAGCCGGAGGCCGACGCCCCGTTCTCGCTGCTGCGGCTCTTCTCGCAGCTGCTGCAGCGCCTCGTGCCGGGCCAGGCCGCTCCGCTCTTCTGGCTCCAGTCGGAGGCCCACGCCACAGGGCTGCCGCCGCTGATCGCCGTCCAGCACCAGCTGCGCCTGGTCGCCTCCTCCTCCTCCACCTACGTGCTCGGCGCTGCAGACAAGGGCTCGCTGCCGGGCCCTCTCAGCGCTGCTTGGGAGGAGCTGCCCGAGCCCCGCTCCCCGCTCTCTAAGCTCCCCGAGATCCTCCAGCAGGTGCATCTGCGCGGGAGCAAGGCCGGGCTCGGCGCGCAGGACCCCGACGGAGGCTACTATAGCTTGGAGGTAGAGGAGCAGCAGCAGCCGGACTCCTGGGCCCCGAGAGACTCGTTGCCTGCAGATGACCGGGAGGAGGAAGCTCAGGAGCACCCAGGCTCCGGGGATGCCTGCGGGCGTCCTGGTGCGGGGGGTCCGTGCGGGGAGGAGGGTCTTTCCGAGGCCCCGTCCGACTCGGACTCGGACATAGAGCAAGATATCCCTGCGGTGACTAGGCCTGCGTGTCCTAACAAACTGATCGATTACATCCTAGGGGGTGCTTGCAGCGGGGAGGAGAGCGATGGGGAGGAAGAAGGCTCGGGCGGTGAAGGGGATGAAGACGACGACGACGACGGGTTTGACAGCGAAGGCTCCCTTTCCGAATCCGATGCCGCAAGCCAGGATGGGGAAAACATTCACTTGTGGAACTCCTTTTGTAGCCTGGATCCTTACGATCCTCGGAATTTCACAGCAGCTGTTCGAACTGCTGGGAACACACCCGAGGAAGCGCCTCCTGTTGAGTCAGAGGAGGTGGAGGATACTTCCTCGTGGACTGAAAGTTCCTGGGAGGAAGATGAGTGGGAGTCCAGCAGCGTGGATGAATCGGAAAACTTGAAATTGTGGAACTCTTTCTGTAACGCTGAGGATCCTTACAACCCTTTCAACTTCAAGGCACAGTTTCAGACTGCAGAAAAGAAAGGGAAAAATGGCTTGAAAGGACCGACAGGGACAGGCCTTGGACCCTCTCAATGTAGCATCTTACTTAGCTGTCAGGTGCACCTGATCGGTAACAGAGACACTGAGGTTACGGAAAATGTGAAGCATGGTGTCCTTTCTAGAGGAAAGTGTAAGAAGAAGAAAAAGGTATGTTTTACATTGGTTTATTATGCAAGCAGGAGGTGCCATTTAAATATATGTGTGTGTATCCTTCCCAATTGACCTGTAGAGTGGCTTACCACAGAGCTAAACATATGGCTGTAGGGGGTTGTACTAGATAACCCTCAGGGTCCCTTCCAGCTCTACAATACTATGATTCTATACCAAAGTAAGTTCTGGGAGGCCTACAACAGTAATAGGGAAACTGGCCTGCCATATGTTTTGGACTACAACTCTCATCAGCCCCAACCAGCTTGGCTAGAAGTCAGGGATGATGGAGTGGTAGTTGAATGACATCTGTAGAGGTGCAAGTTCCCCATTACTATGACCTAAATTACTAAAGTTATGGTGTCACACTGTGGTAATTCCTGGCACAGCTGACTTGTTCTTTCTACTTCTTTGAAATTATTGTTCCTAAAATAGTACACTCTTTTTTTGCCCAGGACTGAGCTTAAAATAGAGTATCAAGTTGGGTATCACAAATTGGCTATCATGGGGCCAGGATAAATTTCCATAGAACTGCTTTGTAGATTAATTAATCCTGTGGCTGGAATAAGAATGTAAAATGCCTTGCAGGAATTTGTCTTTCTCTTCCACTTGCAGCACACATTGTGAAATCAAATTTGGGAGCACTGTATGTATTGGGGCATGGGATACACGTTATACCATGTTTCTTAGAAGAATGGAGATTTCCTCCAAAGCTAGCATTACACCAACAATGCAAGTTAGTACTAAAATTACAAAGCTGCACATGAAGGGGTTAAATTTGTTTCAAAGTGATTTATGCTTACTTGTCTTACTATTTCCACTTCTGTACTTGCCTTGCATTTCAGAACTTCCTTCCCTTCCCTTCATTGCATTGTATCATATTGTAGATTCTGTAAGAATGGGGAGTTGACTCATGGGTGACAGGCTCCATGTGACTGGCAGGAGTTGTGCACCCTCTACTTTCAGTCACAATTCAGCCACACTGTTTTATCCTCCATTCTCTCCCCGCCTTCCCTTGATAAATCCCATTGATTTATGTGAAACAAAATGCTAGAAATGCTTTGAAGTAGTGCAGGTGTGGGCCTCCTTGTGCACCAGTCTGTTCTTTCAAGCCTCCAGTCTGTTTGGGTTAACAAGATTAGCTGCCATGGCTTTCTGAGGAATTTAATACAATTACTTGACTCATGCTTTGTTTGCTTAATGTTGTTCTGTCACACCTAGCTTTCCTAGGAGAATGCTGTAGTGCAAAATTATTGTTAATCCTCGTGGATACTTAAACTTAGCACTGTTCAATGTAGAAACCTCAGAAAGGATAACTCTTCTGTGACACATTAGAATGCAGTATCCATCTATGTAGTCATGTTTGAAACAGTCTGTTTTGCTGTAGTTATTTGTGTTGCTCAGCAAAATAGCTAGCAGGTGCATGTAATTGCAGCAGAATAAACACTTTCAGGGTCTTCAGAACTGACAAATACATGTTTTTAAATCAGGAAACTTACTCTATTTAGGAATAGGGCAAGTGGCCTTAAGCTAGGACAAGCTGGAACTTTGCATTCATTTAGTTGTGTTGCTATTTGTTTATGCGTTCCCCATGATGTACCTTAAAATTCATTGTACAGTTACAACAAAATCAGGATAATTATCACAAAACTTCTGTTGTTTTCTTTATTTAAAAGGGAGTATTTATAATTAGATCAAAATTCTTTTCTAGGCAATGGCTATAACTTTTAGTTTTTAATCCTTCTTTTTCTCCAAGTAGCTCAAGTGCATGGTTCCTCCTAATTTATGTTATATTTCATTTATATTATCCTGTATGATAGGTTAGACAGAGAGATAGTGATCAACCCAGTCTTCCCAGGCCTAGTTTTGCAGCCTACACTTGTTTTTTCTGACTCCTGTTATAAAGCGAGGGGGTTGGACTAGATGATCCTGGTCCCTTCCAACTTTACAAGTCTACGATTCTATGAAAATATAAGTAGACTATGCAATAACATGAGAATGATAAAGTGGTTAATAAACTATTTCTAAAATCTGCACCATTTAAGTAAAACTCTGTGACCCTGATGTGCTACTTGAGCTTTGGTTTGCATTAATGTCAGTGTTCTCCTGAGAGATTTATGTTGTGGGTGTCATAGGCTGCAATCCAAGCCCCCTTTGTGTCTGGCTTGGGTGGGTGAAGGATGTTGGACTGGGTGGAGACATCTCTTCAGCTAATCCTGCTGGCATGGCACTCCTTGTTTCACCCACCTTCAGCATCTCTGCCAGTGGTGACATGCAGAAAGCCCCAAAATGGCATTCTGGCACAGAGAGGGGTTGAAGGGCTGTCACATGACAGCATTTGACTGAATTAGGTGTGAATGCAACACCAGCTTGTCATAACAGCTTGTCTGTCCCTTCCACTTCTGTTCTGAGCCAAGGTTGGGATTGCCTTGCCTAGCTGAACTTTGATATCAAGGATTGCAATACAGTTAGGAACTAAGGGATGTTTAGCAAAAAAATATGCATAATAATTCATGGTGTCTAGATATACATGGATTACCTTTCTGTTAACAAAACATAGAATTTCAGAAATCCCTGGAGTGGTGAAATTACACATTTTAACTCAACCTTCCCTGTAAATCGCTCACAGTGACTTCTCTCAAAACAAATTCAGCCCCCTTGTGTATTTCTTTCTAGTGACACAGTAAACGAACAAGGATCTGTGTGCAATATATACCTTAATGTTACATGACCTGGTAATGGTGCCCTGGAGGATACCTTGGAATGATGTAAATGGCAAGAAAGCATAAAGCAGAGGCAGAAGCTGATGTAACTATCTAGGATTCTTGTGTCTCACTTTTTGAATGAAGATTATTATAAACTTTAAGGGACCTGATATTATAAAATATGTATGGGTGTGTATTACATGCTCTAATCTTGACAGATTAAGGAATTCAAGTATTAAATTCATAATTTCTAGCTGTAAAATTGCCTAACTAATAGTTGATTAAGACTGCTTAACAAGCAGTTTTTGCAGTGCTGTTTAAAGAGAAGGGGGAAAGGGCAAGCAGCCATGTTAGTCCTTAGAGAGAAATCCACAAGTAACACTAGGGTAATAACGTTATTAGGCCTAGTTAAATGGTCACAGTAAAGTAAAAACCTTTCAGATTAATAAAAATATTTATCAGAATGGGAAGAAAAAGACATTGCTTAGCAAGATGAAAAAGCCCTAGTCTGCACAGCAGTTCGTAATAATAGACTGATTCCTTTGATGTATCTTGGACAGCCATACACAGTGGTACCTCTGTTTAAGAACAGCCCTGTTTACAAACTATTTGGTATAAAAACTCTGTAAAACCGGAAGTAGTGTTCCCGTTAGTGAACTTTACCTCGGTTTACGAACAGAAGCCGAACGGTGGAAGGGCACTGGTGACGGGAGGTCTCATTAGGGAAAGTGTGCCTTGGTTTAAGAATGGCTTTGGTTTAAGAATGGACTTCTGAAACGGATTAAGTTCGTAAACCGAGGTACCACTGTAGTCGTAAATGTTTTTAATAAATGGTCTCTTCTGACACAGTTGATTCATACTGGCCTTGGAAGGAGACCAACATTCGAGATTGGTTCTGTGTGTTCGTCTATAGTGCTGTGAGTGCAGTGTTGTCAAGCTGGGGAAAGATTTCATAACACATCAGAATTTAAATGTGAGCTTTGTTGACTTCCATCATATGACGTCTGGAAACTTCCTTCATAACTATCGGCAAGTTGGGTAGGTGTGGCTTGGCCAAAATGGCCTTGTGGATCAAATGGAAAGGCCCGGCAAGCCTAATTAAAACAGCAGGCCAGCGGTTCAGTATTGTTCATGGCTGCTATCCATTGTGCCCCTTAACCCACAAGCACTGATCTCTTTAATACACATGAAAATGAATAAAATGTATTGCACAAATGTCACAGTTTAGTCCTCTCACCTAGGTGATAAATACTTGGTAACTGCGTATTTATGTTTTTCCTTTACTGTACTTTAAAAACAAATGTAGAATTAAAATAGATGCTATTTAAATGCAAGTTGATTATTTGATCTAACTTTGTCTCATGTAGGTGACCTTCCTTGAAGAAGTTACTGAGTATTATGTGAGCAATGAGGAAGATCGGAAAGGACCCTGGGAAGAATTTGCACGTGATGGGTGCCGGTTCCATAAGCGAATTCAAGAAACTGAGGCTGCTATTGGATATTGCTTAACAATGGAGCACAGGCAGCGAATATTTAATAGACTCCAGGAAATGTTGTGAAATTATGTTTTCTAGCACCTTAATAAAGTATAAAAATAAAAGGGTAATGCATTTTAATGACACATGAGCTTCTTATTACAATGGCAGCTGCCTACATGATGTAAAAGTTGGGGGCAGTAGTAATTTAATGCTGCATCTCAGTACTCTGCAACAGATAATGCTGTATGTGTATGGATGCAGGCTCCATTTGGTATCATCAGGCATGATTAGTGCATAACTGTTCCCTTCTAAAGCCAAGTGTATCTGCTTTGGCAGAAGCCAATCCAGAGATGCTTCTCTCTGCATGTGCAAAGAGTGCTCTCTCACATATAAGAAAGACAAATGTATGAGTGTGGATTTTTTGCACTTTTTAAAAGGGAAAATATTTTGAAGTATATTTATTGGGTTTGGAACCCATCAATGCAGTTCTGATTTAAAGTTTGCATATTGCAGTCTATTCTTTTTTATTTAGAGCTTGTGTATAATAGAAATTGCAAATCTTATAATAGTACAGTGGTAGCTCGGGTTGCAGACGCTTCAGGTTACGTGAATTCAGCACCGCGCTGAATCCGGAAGTACGGGTTACTTCCGGGTTTCGGCACTCACGAATGCACAAAAGCACTGAATCGCAACCCATGTGTGCGCAGACGCGGCGCTGTGGGTTGCGAACGTGCCTCCCACACGGATCACGTTCGCAGCCCGGGGTTCCACTGTATATCATTCTTGAATCAAATATTACCCATCCTATATGTATGTATTTCTCATACAGTCTCTAATGTTCAAAAAGACAAGAATGATACATGTTTGTTACATCTTTAGTTTTAAAGTATTTGCTTGTTCCAAGTCATTTGCAATAATCTGCCTCTCAAACTGTACCATACTTGTCTCTTATGATCAACAACCTGAATTTAGGCTGCTGAAAGAAGGTAACTGTAGTGTCACTCTTAAGAATGGATTGCTTAAATTCTAAGACAGTTCTGCTTATACTTCTTGGACAGTGCCCAGCTAACACATCCTGTTAGTTGAAGGAATTCTGCTTGTATAATAGGATTCCCCCCCTCCTCCCCCACCTGCACCTAATGCCATCCCCAAATTACTCTGGAGGGTTGGGGGAACCCCTACAACAGATTTAGGGGGCAGTATCATTGGCACAAGTGGAAATTCTTACACTGGTGGGACTGTGACATAGCATTCCTTTGGCTACAACCCCAATTCACACAGGCACCTATAATCAGCTGAGCACTGTGGAAAGAATAAAGCAAGATGTTAATTTGATTAGTGTCTGCTCTAGTACACAGATATATCTACACTCATAGTAAATAGGATTTAGTCGTTAACAATTTGTAATTCCCATCAGCTATGATGTTTACAAAAAATCAGTATTAATGCAATTGTTCACAATAGCATCATAACTGGTTGTAAGTCTAATTCAGCATCTAATTCTTAATGCATTCATGTGATTGGGGATGCATCACGTTATGTAGCTATTGGTCAAAAATTCTGTTTGTGTTACCAAGAGTTGGATGTGTGTTTGCATTACAAACAATGACTTCATGGCCTAGATAAAATAGCTCAGAGTCCAGAGATTTTGGAGTAAAGCTCAGTATGCTACTTAATAGTACAACTAAAAATAGTGCTCTGTTCCTTCTGATTTAAAGCCACACAAACATTAATTGGAACCATTTTGCCCTATTTATACCCTGAACTTTTTCAGTTGTAAATTCTAATTGGATAAGCAGTTCTCTTTACAAAAATAAATCAATACAATACACATGGAGGGAGGTGTTTCTGATACAGAGGTGTTTCTGATTTTTGATAGCTTTCATTCACAGTGTGCTTTATTTTAGACAATGCTTATTTTGAAGTGGTATTTTTTAAGCAGGTTGAGTTGTCAGCAATGGAACTCTGGATTAGGCTAAATGAAGAGGGGCAAGGGAATATTTCTCTTTTAAGGGCTGCATTCATTTGGAGGTAATATGAGAATAGATGCTAGCAATATGTGTAGCCTCCCCCTTTTCTCTAGCAAAGTGCATCTCCCATCTCCCTGTGTTCAGCTCATTACAAAGTGGCAGGATCATCTTTCTATAGATTAATGATTACACTGAAAATAGAAAATCTTCCCACTTTGATACTGTTTTTTACTAGTCACCTGCAGAATACTGGGTAGAAAGGAGATTCTGGTTCTCAATTTGAAGCCATAAAAACAGGACAGCAGACTTCCTGAAATAGAATTAGTCCATTCTCTTTCTGTAGAAACATTTAATGGTGCTAAATGTGGCAATGAAGTATGTCTTTCAGCTCGTCCCCCCCCCCTGAACAGCAAGTCATGAAAACCCACTACTTCTAAAACTTTAAATCAAAACCGTAATTGATCAGAATTTTATTTTTATATTGTTTTAGGAAGGCAAAGTTAAGAGCCAGATAACCTTTCACTTTATACAGATTTAAGTGAATTTGATTGTATCTCATTGGGATTTTATATTTAAAGTTATATTTCTGTATATAATAAAACAATTTCCAACTAATCTGTAAAAGTAATAAATACTTTGCAAGCTACTTTCCTGTTGTCTGGACTATTGATATATAGCTCCTGTAATGGAAGAATGGGGGCAACTGGTGGTTTCAGAGCTGTGCATTGCCTATGGAAAAACACTTATATACTATACAATATACTATATAAAAACTAGTATTTGGGAATCGGCACAACAGCTTATTTAGTATTAATAATGAGTGTGTTATTAAGTTTGGTTCCGTTCCCTCCCTCCCTCCCACCAATTGATTGGTTGTGTGGGACCTTCAGCTAGGCCTTGCTTTCCCTGTGCATATATCCCAAATGCCCACATGGCTTTAACATGGATAAGTGGGATAAAAATGTGTCCTGTCCTCTATGACTGTCTTCCTAGACATGCCACTTCCAATACCATGTTGTTCACTTTTCTCCTCTCCACTAACCTGCCCATCTCTGATCATATCAAAGAAGAAGCAGTTCAGTCTCCTTGTGGCAGTCATGTTGTGAGCACTGCCTCTGAAGAGGTGGGGAAAACAATGAATCTGCTAGTTAAGCCAAATGAAATGCTACAAAATGTGCCAATAACTCTATAAGTCCTCTAGAAGGCACGTTAAACTTAGGACCAGTTTGGTACAGTGGTCCAAGAGTCAAGACTAGGAGCTGGGAGAGCAGGGTTCCAATTCCCACTTGGTCAGGAAGCTTACTGGGTGGCCTTGAGCCAGTCACTGCCTCTCAGCCTAACCTACCTCAACGGGATTGTGAGGATAAAAGAAGGTGTGGGTAAAAGAAGGTGTGGGGTGGAAGACGCATGTACACCTTCCTTGAGCTACTTGGAGGAAAGGTTGAGACAAGATGACCCTTGGGGTCCCTTCCAACTCAACAGTTCTATGACTCTATAATATAGAAGGAGCTTTAAATTGACCAAAGTAGCAGAACTGAGAGCAGCAAAAAGTCTGAGGTTTAGGAAATGGTTTCTGTGTAGGAATGGGCTGATTTTGGAGTTCCTTCACACTGTGTGTGTGCATGTGTGTGTAATGTGTGAATTACACACTTGGATTTGTAGGAGCATATTTGTCATATCCAGAATAGGTTGGCGCTTCCTGCTGAGTGTACACTGATGGCAGACTCAGGTTTGCTACGATGTAATATAATAATAATAATAATAATAATAATAATTTATACCCAGCCACTCTGAGCAGCTTCCAACAAAATATTAAAATACAATAGTGCGTCAAACATTAAAAGCTTACCTAAGCAGAAGTGCCTTCAGATGTCTTCTAAAAGTCTGGTAGTTGTTTTTCTCTTTGACATCTGGTGGGAGGGCGTTCCACAGGGCAGGTGCCACTACTGAGAAGGCCCTCTGCCTGGTTCCCTGTAACTTGGCTTCTCTCAGTCGGAGAACCGCCAGAAGGCCCTCGGCGCTGGACCTCAATGTCCGGGCGGAATGATGGGGATGGGTACGCTCCTTCAGGTGTACTGGGCCAAGGCCGTTTAAGGCTTTAAAGGTCAGCACCAACACTTTGAATTGTGCTCAGAAACATGCTGGGAGCCAATGTAGGTCTTTCAAGACCGGTGTTACGCGGTCTTGGCGGCCGCCCCCAGTCACAAGTCTAGCTGCTGCGTTCTGGATTAGTTGTAGTTGTAATGTGTGAAATGGCCCAAGATGCTGAAAAACTGGAATGGCAGAATATGGGGACCAAGGAAGGGAAAGGGTTAATCCAATCTATGTTCATCACAAGCCTTCATAAAGCATGATCTCAAGGGAATAAAGACACCATGCACACACAAAGCATTGTAAGGCTGAAAGCTAGATTCGGTGAGGTTTGTGTATCGAAGGGTGAAAATGACTATGTCCACAAGGTGGCAATAGCCACCTTTTAGTTACAAAATCCAGTGCTGATGCTCTCCCTAGAGAGGTTCACCTGGCGCCTTTAGGTGTCAGGTGAAAATGTTCCTCTTCAGGAAGGCCTTTAGCTGGTTACCATCCAATACCCTTTTAAATGTGTTGTGGGAGTGGGGAATTCTTGATTTGTTTTTGCTCTTATTTTATTATTTATTCTGTGTTTTTTATATTGTATTTTTTTATGTTGTGAGCCACCCTGAAATCTACAGATGATGAACAGTATACAAATTTAATAAATAAATAAATAATAATCTTAAAAGCAACCAAGTAGGTTCGAGATCCTAGGAGGGTGTTATCAAACACTAAATATATATGAAAATACGAGTGCTCTAAAACTATCATCTTGCAATTCCTATGATGTTGCTGAGAAAGGCAGAAGCCAAAAGGTTTAACTAAACAATTGCAAATCTGTCTCCGTGTGGTCATTCACATATAAATATTCATGCCTTTTTAAAAACAAGCTGATTTTTATTGTTTTCCAATAAACATTAACATCAAATTTAGTTAACAACAGCAACATCAAACACTAAGAAGAGGAATGTTCAGTTCATTCATGAGCTCCAGAAATATTCCGACAACCATGGACGTAGCTTTGTCCACACATTTCCACACAGTGGTGGACTTTAAGTCATTAGGAACCATAATTCTGATGATGCCACAACATGTCTTGATGGGAGCAGTGACTAAGTACTATGTATACCTTACCTACCAGCCAGAACACACAACATTAACCCATCGTCTCCTATGCTAACTTGGAGGTGGACTTTTTCACTGGTAGTACCAGGGTGGTGGAATGGTCTCACTGCTGAAATATGAGAAGTTCCATCAGAATTGACATTCTGCTGGCTCTGGAAGACACACCTGTTTAGACAAGCATTCCTTGATTGCCTGACTTGAACCTCCTGTTTTAATTGCTGTTTTAACTTTTTAAATTGTTGTGTTGTTTAAACGGGGTTGTTATAATTGCATATTTTAGTCGTGCATGGCTATTTTTATGTTTTGATGAAATTGCTTCATTTGGCATTTTAAATTTTGTGTGCTCATATTTTTTTGTAACCGGCTTTATGCTTGTAAACTGCTTAGAAGCCTCCTTGACAGTTAAGTGATATATTAATTAACAAATAGCAACAGCGCAGTCGGGCCCTGCAATATGACTGCAAGAGTTGCCTTGTACAGAACTGGTGCAACAGAGAAAGTAACAGAATCAGTAGGTAACGCTTGTCACCTACTTATCTAAAACCTCTCCAGCTGCATCATCAAAGCCTTACAGCTGTACTCTTAAATGACCCTCCCTTTCACAGGTTTTGCTTAAAGACAAGCCCCTCCCTCCCCCATTTACTTGCACATGGGTCACTAACTGGAAATGCAAAACCAGGAACAAGCCCTGCAACTAACTACACCCCCTGCCTTTACTTGAAAAATACTACCACAGAACCTGCAGCATCAATAGCTCCTTAACTTCAACATCTTCTAGCATGTAAATTATGGTCTGTCCGCTCTGTACTTTCAAAAGAAGACTCTTGCTTGAAGCTACTGAGTTGGAAATCATCTGCTAATTTGACACTGAGGAACTTTGAACCCAAGAGATGTCCTGTGAATTGTTGTACCACTACGGAAATGATCCTCTTTCTTCAACGTGCTATGTCTGTTCATCACCAGCAGAGGGTGAATGGCTATACCTATGTTGAATGGCTCTTCTCTCCACTCATTCTCTTGTTTAGTAACATGGAATGCTTCTTGCCATCACAAATGAATGGTTAAGGCCAGTTAGCAAATCTTCCTCCTTCTCTTGGCATGGTGTGTGTGTGTGTGCATAAGATTAGAGCTTTTGGTTTATTCTCTTCGTCACCTATTGCGGAAGCACCCTTTCAGTGGTTGACAAACAAGTCCAGTTAGCCACTTGCTGTCGTCATCTTCCAATTCAGTCTGGTCCAGTCTCTTCTTCCTTCTAAGTGCTGGGCTGCACCAGTCTTATTGTTAAGAGAAACCTCACCCTGACACTTGTTCATTCTTGAGAACTCGCTCATTCCTCCTCACACCCTTGCCACAACCTAACCCTTTAAATAATGAAGAGCTTGCTCCACAGCCCACATGCCATGAAAGTGAATAGGCCAGATATGAAAATGCCTTGTGCTCATGAGGAGCTGAGCAACATTTTAAGAAGGCATTGACTTGCATTGAGTCAGATAGGCTTGCCATATTTCAAAAAAGTAAAATTCCTGACGCCCACAAAGTTCTTGAGCTTCTTTAAGGAAACTAGTGATTTTAAGCATTTTGAGCTGTTTCCAATACTTTTTCCATTGTGGTGCCATACATCTGGGTTTTCCCTGGCATGTTGCCAGTTTGGCAAAATTCCCCTTGATGCCATTTTTACACCCCAAAATCAGGACATGTCAGGAATTTTCCTGACATATGGCAAGCCTAGAGTCACAGCTGATGTCAAATTACTAGAATAGGGCTCACTGATTTGGCATTCCACAGTGGTACAAGCAATGAAAAAGTCCACCACCATGTTGGCATAGGAGCAGCGGTGGATTTTAAGCTTTCAAATTTCAGCTGCGCCCCGTAGAACACCAAAATTTGGTGCCCCAGCCTCTCGCCTTCCATTTTAAGTCATTGTTGCAGCCCCTCCCCCCGTGGCGCCCTCTCCTCTCAGTGCCCAGTGCAGGCGAACCAGTTGTGCTCCCGTAAATCCACTTCTGATAGGAGACATTGTATATATTGTGTGTGTGTGTAACCGTCACTGATATGAGAATGTGGACTGATATGAACCACATAGCTGCACAGTTCTGCTGCTGCGTGAAGTGGTCCAGATTCAGGTTGATAGTGAGCTTTCCAGGTAATGCATTTAGGTTGCTATTAATTACATTGATATCCAATTTGTTCTCTGAGTTACTCAACATAATGTACATTTTTATCTCCCACTGTTTTACACTCACAGCAACCCTGTTTGGTAGGTCAAGTGGAGGGCTTGTAACAGGCCCAAGGATACCCAGTGAGCTTCAAGGCTGGGTCAGGGTTTGAACCTGGATCTCCCCAGTCCTGGTCTAACAGTCTAACCACTTTGCCTCATGGCCTCTCTGGACCTCTCCACATCAGTGCAACTAAACTGCTTAAACAAGTGAAATGAGATTTTTAAAAACC